CTTTGGTTTGTACTGGAATGCTTCCTCACCTCAGCTTATGTGCAAAGCAGAGCATTCCTGCTTTCCATTGTGATGGCACACTAGCATTCCAGTGGGAATGACCCAGTAGTATGCAAATGTTCCCAACTTTTGAGATATGCCCGTACCACGCACATATGTTAGTGGGATGTGCTAGCAACTCGACACGTGCTGAAAGTTAGAAAGAGCGCGCCCAAAAAATTTGTGCGTTTTGGCCAAATGGTCACCACGTTTTGGTCTGGGTTGATGAGGATTGTACAGAAGGCAGTTTCTAGCAAGCATTCAGTCTGAAATTTCTCGTGGGGCATGTCAGGTATGGGGAAACTGCAGTATGAGCCAAAAGTTCTACCGTGTGAAAAAGTATCACAGATTGCACTACATATTACATTTTTTCTGAAATGTAATCATTGTTCGCTCATACCTTTCAATCCTCCCTGAGCGAAAGTGCGCCCTCACTGGTAAAGGACTGACAGGCTTGTCGGAAGTTTTTGACCGAGCTCCTGCACTGGCCTTGCGCTCATGCTAAGACCATATGAATTGGTTGCGTGTACTCACTGTGGCCCACTCCAAATGCAAATAAGCCTTGCGCGCTCACGCGATGAGTTTCCACCAAACGATAGCCATTGCCATGTAAAAACATGCCCGCTCCTGTTCCCACTTGGCGTGGATGTAGAGAACTCTCAAAAAAATGGGCAGACCAGTTCTGATAAAGACCTCAATGCCAATGTCTAAATGTCTATGAATTTGTTCTGTACACGAAGCATTTATGATGATTACATCGCTTGCACCTGTTGTGAAACTACCTTTGAGGGCAAGCATGCTGTTGTTTCTGTCACAGGCTCTCGTCCTAGGGAGACACGCAAGGTCCGTTTCTCCGACGGCGTCAACCCGGGGGTGGAGCAGAACCCCCACGATGGCGTGGGCATCGGAGGCACAGTTCTGGCTGGAATAGATGTCGGCAACGTGCCGTGCACAGTGGAAGGCAGGCCCAGGGGGCTCGGGGACGTCACAGGATCTAGCCTCATCCCAGGGAATGAGGAAGGGTTACCGCCTGTCGTCGTTGCCGTGGAAACAGGAGGAGGTCAGAACTTGTCACACAAAATGCCAACAGAAACCCAGTCGGAATCCTCTGAACACTTCCACATTTAATGCCCTGAAAAAAATGCCCATCAGAAATTTTTTTTTCTTTGGACTCACAATACCTGCCACATTGCAAGGGGGGTTGAGCTGCTGCACTGTCCAAGACATGTCGTCAAAACAATAGCAGTGCTCTGATAGGAGAAGACTGTGTCAGGTGTGTACCTCTTGTGTTGAAGATGAAATCCATGAAAGGTGTCTGCATTTCCTTTTCTTGGCCTTTCAGAATACCATGTAAGGCAGAATCTGGTAGAAGAGGAGCTTATTCAAGAAATGAAAAGTGAGTATATTCTTCAACTTCAGTCACAATCACGGTACCATGTAGTGTGATGAGTTTTAGGAAAACTTCAGATGCCAGTGAAGCGGTTTTGATAATAACAGGCAAATGAGTCCTCAATTTAACATGTTTATTTCCGAAACAATACAACATGTAAACACATGTAAACATAATCCAGCTATCTATGCACGGGCATTGCTTACAAGTTAAAACTTCAGCTACACCTTGACTCACCTCTGGCCGATGTCCAGACCGTCGGTTCCTCCATTTGTTGCGTGCTCACACACAGTCAGGCAGACCTTCCTTTGAACTCTAATTCAGCCCCTGTTTATGGCCTGTTGTGGTAGCAAATAGTTCTCATTTAAAAACACGCCCTCTTTTGTTGCCGCTCGAAGCGGATACCATTGAAAAGTTGTTACTTTTCTTATACGTTTTCTTATACCTCTTCCAGATCCTAGTGCACCCCCTGTGGCCTTTGCTTTAAATAGAAACCTGATCGTCAGAATCAAGATCTTGGATTGTAAGTATTGATTTGTGCTATTGTCTGTTTCATTGCCTTTCATCCTTTTGAAGCCTGAGACACAAAAAAAGACAAAAAAGGCACCAAAACACCCTTTAATTAGCATGAATACATATTGAAAATAACTTTGATTAGGAGCTAAAGGTGGATTTTTGAGAGTTGTTTCGAAAGAAAAAAATGAAGTGCATGTGTCTTGACCTTTATTGCCTGATAGTAAATTGCTGCGTGAACAGGACGTGCTGGTGTTTCTCCACCAAGGGCATGGCCACGGTGGGCCAGGATGAGATTGTCATTGTCCTGGAGTGCCTCACCGATGAGAAGACCGTCCCCAAGGACATCTTCCGCCACCTTCAGTCGCTGTACGAGCAAGCGTCCAGAGGTAAGTCACCCCTCAAGCCTCCCAGAGTAGCAGCAGTCTGCCAGCAGGTTTTGGGAGGATGCTGGAGGCTTGAGGAAGGTAGAGCCCAGCCATTTGTATTTCATAATGAGCCAGTTTGGTAGTTCAGAAAGCCAAGGTCTTTCAGGAACAAAGCACCCACGTGAGTCACCATATGGCTGCGCTGATAGGACAGACTATTGCACTCGCATGTAGCTTTTCCCGAATAGTCTCGTGCTGGGCATGCGCTGTTGGAATACCAAACTGGTTCATTGGGCTTGGTGGTCGTTGAAATGTAAAAGACAATGAATGTGCCACTGGCTGTTTGGAAATTTTGGTTAATTTTTTTATCCAGTCCAAAGAACCAACTTTGTAGAGTTACTAGTGTTGCTTCCTGCTTATCAAAAAGAGGTTACCAACTTATACCCAGCAAGAAATGAGACTGAGGGGTACCCCCCCAACATGTCCAGTCGCTATACACACTCTAGACTATTGTTACCTAACACATCCCCTAAAATAATAATAATAACACTATCAAAGCGTTTTATAAGGTGCACAGTGTCTCGCAGTGTCTGTAATTCAAAGGCACCAGTAAAAGTAATGCAGTCAGGAAAATGGTTTTGATTTGACACAGTTGCATACTAAGAACAGAGGTGAAAAGTCATGAACTCGCATATATTGAAGAGACAGCAAAAGTTAAATAGTTCCAGTAGTTTTTGTCTGTAAATCGGTGCATTACTGAGGTTTTCTTCCCAGGACAACATCCAGTTTTGCTCATGAATATGGAAATCGCTGCATAAAAACTAAGGAGACACCAATGTACCCTTCAAAATGGAAAAAAACTGAGGAGATAAGATGAATAGCAAAAAGTGAATTTTTGAGGATTTTGGTTGAAAAATGCTATTTTTTTATGTCAGGTGTGACAGTCTCCCACATGGGGCACAGTCTCTTCAGCCAGAGTTTCCTGGGCGGTCGGGAGCACGGCGGCTTCCTCTACCTCAGGCCCTCCTTCCAGTGTCTCAGCAAGCTGCTGCTGCCAGAGCCCCCTTACCTCTTCGCCGTCCTCCTGCAGAAGTGGGAGACGCCCTGGGCAAAAGTCTTCCCCCTGCGGCTCCTGCTCAGACTGGGGGCCGAATTTAGATGTGAGTGTATGAAGAAAAAAAAATACCAGTGTAATGTTATTTATCAGAAGTGTTGTACCCCAACCCATGGGGGTCACGGGTGGGGAGGGGCAAAGAGGGACACTTACCCCCTACCCCCTCCCGGAAAAAAATTAAAAGCAGAGGGGGCAGAAATGAGTGAAAGAAATACAAAAAACAAAGGATGAAAGGGGATGATAATCACTAATTTGTTTATAAAAAATACCTCAAAAGTGACTTTCTTCCACCATTACTGATTTGTCTACCGCTGTCAAGCACTTCCCACTCCTGGAAAAAATCCCGGCCACGCCCATTCCCCAACCCCTCATTCCATACCCCCATCCCCATCCACCAGCAATATTCCAAAGATGTGTGTTCTTGGTTTCAAAGTACCAGAGAACAACCCTGTCAAGATGCAGTACTTGTTCTGTGTCTCTTCCATCTCTATGTCGCCCCCTCCCATTTCCCCCCTCCACTCCTATTCCTGCCTCTGGGGTATCACACGTTCTCAAACTTTAAGCAAGGCAACTGTGGGAGATAAACATGAATTGCAATAGACTTCCATCATCAAATGTTTCTCCTGTTGCAGTATTATTGACAAATTGTTTGGGTGTATTATTAACCACTCGCTGCCGGGTGGTTTGAAAAATGCAGTGCACACATGCAGGCGATTTTCAAGATTTTCAGGTTTTCAAAATTCTTCAAAAATTCACCATTTCATTGAATGGACGTTTACACCCACATGAATGACTGTCTTGTGGCCACTTTAGTCTGACAGACAAAATCTATTGACACCCGAGTACATCAGCCAGGCCTGCAGCCTTGTAAAAAGGGCTGAGAAAAAAAACTCTTTTGTTCCCGAAACTGGCACAATGCACGACTGGCGTCTTTTCAATAGGGGTCAGATTAGTGTGCAGCGGTATTGTATCGCTCAGCGCTGGAGCGCTTTTGTCCCCAGTGGTAATCCGCTTGTGCTGAATACCACAAATAGTGGTATAATCTTTCAAAACATTTCCTCCGGTATTGACAACCGAAAAAATGTTGGCAATTCCCAACAGCTGAGTACTTTTGTGCCGAGTATGGTCTTTTGTTACAAAGCCCAGCTCTTTTATCCAGTTTAGGGCTCCCCGGCTTCATGTATAAAGCCTAGGTGCTCGAAAATGTGTCCCCTGGCAGCAGGTTAAACATGAGCTCATGTCTTTCAAGATGTATTTTGCATTGGGGAGATGTTAAACTGAATTTCAGGTTTTGCCCTGACACAGAAGTATATTCATAAACACTGTATACTCAGTACTTGTTTGTGAGCTTATGGAAAATTCACAAGCTGGATCCGATGGGACTCAAAATCACAACCTCCTGCTTATACCAGTGCAGACGTCTTTACCACTTGACCACCTAGCTGGCTGGTGTCAGCTTGCCGGTCCGACTCAGATGAAGCAGTGGGTACCGTGAACCCTTTCAAGATGCACTTTGCCTCAGGGAGATAATTGCATTTAATAACAGGTGTCCTTATTGTCCTTATTGCTAGTAGATATATGCAAACCATAATTGCCTCTACTAGAGATTTTGGTGTATATGTACCTTTAGTCAACAGAGCCCGATTCACAAACAATTTTTTCCCACTCTGATACTAATATGTAACCCTTTTCATTTCTCAACAGACTATCCTTGTCCGTTGATGAGCGTGCGTTTCCGTAAGCCTGTCTTTGGTGAGATAGGACACACCATCATGAACCTGCTTGCTGTAAGTTTACCTCCTCCACAAACGCCAACTATGCAGGTCACTGGTCCGTGGATTAACCCTCAAAAATCCTTCCACTGTCAGAAATGCGTAGTTCTTTAAAAGTTTTTTAGAACAGAGTAGTGAACTGTAGAACACACGGCATATAACTTGTCAAGAGTAAGTTGAGAAAATCATTAAAAGTTGAGAAAATAATGTCAAGTCTATAGTCGCACTTTGATGGAAAGATCTCATTAGATTGGTGTGAGTAAACTTCTGAGAAAAGCTCTCAGGCAGACGCTCCGTGTCTTGATCAGAACTCTCTCTGTCCGTCTTCAGGAAGAGTCTTTTCTCTCTCTCTCTCTTTCTCTCTCTGCAGGATTTCAAGAATTACCAGTACAAACTACCGGTCATCCCTGGCATAGTCATTCACATGCAGGAGAGGGAGACATTGATCCAGATACCGCGGAACAGGTACAACGAGGTGCGTTGACATCTGTCGCTCGGTAGCTCGTGATTCTTGTATAATAGGTGTACTTATCCTGTCATCAAATGGACCGCTTAGGGAGACTGACGATGTGCTTTACGTATTAGTTGTAAAGAGAAACAAAGAAATTGACGAGCAGGGTTTGAACCTGTGAGCAGTGACTGGAAAAGCATCCATGTCTGGGTTCTACAGGTTTGTGGCAAGTTCATCGGTGATGAGTTTTTTTCTTGGTATCTGATTTCCACAGGTCATGAAGGTGGTGAACAACTCCAACGAACATGTGATGGCCATCGCTGCCAACTTCAGCACCGAGGCCGACTCCCACCTGGTGTGCATCCAGAACGACGAAGGCACCTACCAGACCCAGGCGATCAGCATACAGAACAAGCCCCGGAAGGGTGGGTACCAGACCAGTCGTCCTGTGGCTTGGGCTTTCTGTTTCAAACTCGCAGCTCGGGTGGTCATGTTCGCGTATTTAGTGCTCCCATGTTGAGCCACTCTGAGATGAAGCTCGGTGACGAGGCTGAGGTCTGGCTCAGTTTTGGATGGAAATACAACTGAAAAGTTAAGCCATTGTGAACTTGCGCAAAGTTCAAGACGCTACCTGTTTTTGTCAGGAAAAAGACAGAGGGTATACTTAGTTATAGGCTGTATGTTATTGATTTCAGTGGATTCAGGAAGACTTATTGCCAAAATACCCGCAGGGGTTAAGTTTAACAATCTGTTTTATTTGAAATCCCCCAAAACTGAGAGAGGAATTCATTGGAATTGGTTCTCATGTAGATGGAAGCTAACGAAATTACTTTTATATTATGTATTTACACCCATGGCGTGATCGGCTGATGTTCTTGTTATTATTATTAAACGTTTATAAAACCAAGGACTCCTCAAAAACGTCCTTGGCGTTTTGGCTCATAATCCTGAATGAAATCTGTAGAGAGGAGAAGGGAGAAGCAGTAACAGTTTTAGAGCTGGGAGGAAAACCCAGAAAAAAAGTTCTGAGTGAAAACCTCAAGGAATCAGGCAGGGACTGAGAACTGAGTCCACATTTTGGACTGTGCCAGGAATCGAACCTGGGTCACAGAGGTGAATGACGAGGAAACAACCAGTATGCCAACGTAACTCCTATGTCACGTTAGTTTGTACCATCCTTTCCACTGTCATCAGTTTTCATAACACTTTGTATCGTCTAGTCGCCCCCCCCCCACACAGACAAGCTTTTAACACTTTTTGAATACATGACATCTTTCTGATCTGTTCTCTTAATTTTCTTTTTTCTCCTCCTCTGCCCACCCCAGTCACCGGGGCCAGTTTCGTGGTCTTCAACGGCGCCCTGAAGACCACCTCGGGCCTGACGGCCAAGTCCAGTATCGTGGAGGATGGCCTGATGATCCAGATCCTCCCCGAGACCATGGCCGCCCTCCGCCAGGCCCTGCGGGACATGCTGGACCTACCCATTCCCTGCGGTGCCACGCAGGCCGAGCGACCCGACGAAACGGTCACGGTCAAGTGGGTGGACGATGACAAGACTGTCAACGTGGGGTGGGTGACAAATCAGTTTTTCCCACCCCTTACTTTCTTACACCTTCCATATTTATTTTGAAACCTTAAATGCCAACAGGAAATTGAAAGAGAAGCACATGACTTCCTAGGCCTGCTCTTTGACCCAAAAAAATTTTGTAAAAATGTTGAAAATTCTGGAAAAGAAATGAGTTTAGGTAAAGTCTATGAAAGCATTTTGGAAATCAATACAGCAGAAACATTCCATGCTAATGGAATCCTTATTTTTAAACATAGCATATTTTACATTTCTAAAAAATTCAGTCAAGGGTAAGAAAAGTAGAGCAATATGGAAATTGGTAATGCTTTGTGATGAAATCTCAGGAAAATATTTTTGTGCAAAAGGGGCTAATTGAGTTTTTTAAGAAGGGTGTGGGTTTTCCTAGGGGATAAGACCTCTTGCAGATTTGTAGATGGGCATATTTTTGTTTACAGAGCACTGCTATGGCCCAGACTTTTTAATCCGTATAAATTTGCTCTTGGCTGCAGTGTTTTGAGCCCCATTGATGGCCGCTCCCTGGAGGGCGTGGACAGCATCCGCATCCACCACGGCAACGACTTCCGGGGCGGCCGCTCCAACCTCTCACTGCGCTGGACCGAGGTGTTCTTCCTAGAGAACGAGGAGTCGCCAGTGGACCAGAGCCGCTTGGCTGAGATGTTGTCATCGGCGTTCTGCGCCGCCATGACAGGCCAGCTAGACCAGCTACAGGATGCCAGCATGGTCAAACTGGCGCTGCGGGTGACTGTGGACTCTGACAGCGTAAGATTTTGAGCGATTTTAGTTCCATTATCATGGGATGCAACAAGTTGGTTTTATGAAGTAGACACCAGAATAACACTCGTGGAACAGACATTTTCCATCTCTGTAGACGTTGTAATGTACACACCATTCATTCTGGCCCTGTGACAGGATTTTAGTGATTTTGACTTATCCACCTGCTTGTAAATCTGTCTCTTTGTTCGGGCAGGTTGGCTACGAGGCTGGGTCAAAAGGCGAGCTCCTGCCACCAGTTTACATGAATGAACTGGACAACGAGCTGATACCGGTCTTGCACAGTGCCGTGTCGCAGCACGAGGGGGGACCGGTCATCATGGAGCTGGTGTTCTACATCATTGAGTGACCCCTGACCCCACGACGGGTACGTATGCGTTGGCTCTTTATGCTGCGTATAGTTATCTCTATGCTAATTTGTAATTTATGGTAATCATACACAGAGGGGCGATAAGGGTTGAAACAATCGCTTTGTTTTGTGACAGTTTTTCTTCACATACTGCGAAAAAGCATTCTTCACAGATCCAGGACATTTTGATTTTAAATACATATATTCTGTAAACAGCCATTTTTTTCTCCCATGGAAAGTGTCACTTTCAGTTATTTTCATATCCTTGGAGCAAAAAATTACGGTTAATTTTATCGTCTGTAGGTATTGGAGGTATTTTTAGTTTACATCTCACACTCACTGGAAACTGCACACTTGTGAAAGGCCACCGTGACATTGAAACAATGAGTGTTCAGCAAATTGGAATCATTTTATACAACTTTAATACGGTGTTTTGTTTGAAAAGATGCGGTTCTGACATTTCTTCAGTGCTTCATTTAAAGTATTTGAAAATTCGGCAGTGGTACTTCCGCGTATGTGCGTCATACGCATCACACGCTTGCACATTTTCCCATGTTATTCAGATACAGGCAAGAATTGTGAAGTCAATTTATCTTCTGTTTTTCATTAAGATATTTTTCATGAAATTGTCGCAAGCACTTGCTCCTCGATCTGCATGCTTGCAGCTAGTGATGTGCGATATGTGATAGGTTATCTCGTTATTTGAAATTGACTTTTCAGAGGACTTTCTCTCTTGAGTTGTTTGAAATCACATCCACATGATGACTAATGTGATGATTTCAACCTTTTTTCTTAATATTCAGGTTTCAGTTTACCAAGTGCACCATTTTCACATAACGGTAGCAATGTGTATATAGACTTTCATTGATAATCATTGTAACAAATATTACTTTTGTTGCTCAAACTTAACATTCATGCACACTGTTATTTAGCATATATTTCTGTGATCTCATGCAAAACACAAATATGTACATGTTTTATATTATGTAATTTCAAGTGTAATTTTTTATACTGAATCTTAACCCCTTCACACCGGGGCTCTTTTGATCATGACTGCTGGGCTGTGGTGTGCCCAATATGCAAAGCTTGTTCCAGCAGCAGGCCCCATTGAACCAGCAGCTGCATGGTGAATAGACTGTATGTGTGGCATGCACTAATCCTCACACAAAGTCGCGGCTGTGGATGGCTCCCGGTATAAAGGGATGAATAGCATTTTTTAAACTCCATTAACAGCAGTTTTGAAATGATGCAAGCGTAGAGTATTGAAATTTTTGTAGAATTATTATGGGAGAGACACACAAGGATGTTATGCACATTTTTGAAACTCCACAACACAGAATTATTTTGTTTCTTCCCTGGGTTGAAGTCGCTTAAGCACTGGGCTTGCTTGAAGTCATTAGGAAGGCAGAGACCTTATCACAGATTGTCTGAGATCCATGTTGTAACACCTACATGCATCTAGTCTGAGGAGCTGTTAAAAACAAAACAAATGGAGCTTCCACATGCGTCAGTTTCAGTGTGGAGGTTGATATCAGGTGAAAGAATCAGTCATCGATACTATGTGCCCTTGCTGGTTATTAGTGACAATATCCCATGGGTGTCACAGATATCAGTTCAGACCAAGACTTCAAATTCCATCACTTCTGCCAGTCAATTTCATGCAATGTCACATTGGATCACGGTCTCAACTTTTGTCGGTAATCACCTGTAAGGTACAGAGACATGAACTTCAAATGCAGTATACGTTGTTTTGGCTTAACAGTTTTGTTTTGCTTCTACACGCACATAGCAAGTTTGCCTTCATGTCAGCTTGTGCCTGGCAGCACGTGTAAATGGCACTGAATATGTTTATTTTACTTACATATAGGCACTCACTCGTACTAAATCATGTATGTTTGCGTTTAACAACAGGTTCGTACTCAACCAAGGTGTAAAGTATCATTTTCTGGCCAATTGCACTTTGAGGGAGGTTGATAACTAGCACTGTTATTAAGATCTGTGACAAGCAAAGACATCCCCTTTGACAAATCTTCACAGAATCAGTTTAGGTGACGACAAACTTCGACAAGGATGAATTGAAGCAAATATTAGCATTGTAGTCCAAGTCCTTTGACAGCTAACTGCCAGTGGCATTGTGGGGATTTTTATACCAAGGCAGTGTGCTAAATGCAAATGATTGTATGGCCGTTGTTACAGTGAGTAAAGTTTAGAGGGTGACGAAAAAGTAGGTTTCCTTTTTTTTTTACATACCCATAATGTAATTGAATAAAAGAAAGTACATAGAAATTACAACTATAAAATCCCTTTGGTTTTATATTTGCTGGCACATTCCACTGGGAATTAGGGTTGATAAATTGTAGATAAGAATGTAGCTGAGCGTATTTTTGATTGAGATCTAGCAAAACTGAAGTTGTTAATCATGTGCAATCATACGCCTACCGGTAGGCTTGCAGGAGAGTAGTTTTTATTTTGGGGTTTTTTTAAAACCATTTTGGGCCATCTACTAGAATCATTCATGTGCATCTTGGAAATTAGGCGTACCCAGTTTGCAAGAGGTCATGTTTCATTTTGTCCGTGCTCAAAGGTACCCCACGAATTTTCTAGCATTGAAATGATGTAGTCTCAGCAGAGAATGAGGAGCGTTGTACATACGTGTACAGCATACAATAACTGTGGACTGCATTCTTAAACCGTATGCTTCAGATAGCCCTTCCAGTCCCAAATCCTCTGATTTCAGTACGAGTTTCCATACACCGTAGGGGGTTAGGGTTAATGTGTAAACCCTGCAGTCCCCCTTCCTAATGAGCCAGGTCGGTTTTTCAAAAAGGCCAGGCCTTTCAAGAACAAAGCACACATGCCAGTTGGCATACTGCGGTACTGATAGGGCAGAGCTGGGGTGTGTATTATTGCTGATCTTGAATGAATGACCTTGGACATGCTTTATATTGGGCATGCACTGTTGGAATACTGGCTTACTGTCTGTCTTGCACAACGGTCCAATTTCATGGCACTGCTCAACAAGTTAGCAGGAAAGTTGTGCTTTCCTGCAGCAGAAAATTTTGCTCACTGTAAGCACTATTCCATGGCAGTGCTTGGCTTGGTTGTGCTTATGCTTGCACTTTCAGTAGGGATTTCCATTATTTTGTCACTTTGTTGAGCAAATTTTTCCCCCAAGGTAAGCGTGCCTTTCATTGTGCTTACAGCTTACAGGCCCAGTTCTGACATTTTAGCATTTTCATCAGACATGTCAGACTTCTTTAGTTTGTTGCATGCCTTTAAAGTGACAGGTTTGTAATTTGGTGAACCCATCAGTGCTGATTATGCGCGTGGGGCAAACTTGACGACTGCCATGTAAATTTAATGAGAAATGATCATTGAGCATTTGAAATACACATAATAATATAAGAACAAGATAGCAAGGAATTTTCAGAATAATTCGGTGAAACAAATGATGAAACAATGCATCTTCTTTGTATACATCAAATAGTTGCAATGATACATTATGGCATTTTTAACATGAAATAGTGATAAATCACTTGGAGGTGTTCTGACTGTCAACCAGTAACGAAGTATTATATGTAACTGTTGTTAAGAGAAGTAGAACAAATTGGCTATTTTTGTCCCCTTTTATACCTCAAATTATGTCAATACTGACCAATTATACTAAACCAATTTTTGTAAAGTGGTAATCTGTGAATAAACTGTACTGGAACTTCAGAAAGTGCCTTACAATAAACCATCTATGTAAGTCCCGTTGTCAAGTTCGCTTTGTATTATTATTGGCATTTTTATTCAGTTATCTAACCTTTTGGTGCATCCCCCTCACAAAGGAGAATTCACCATGATGTTAACATTGGATATTGTTTTGGAAGTATATAAGAAGTTGGGGTGCAAGTCCATGGCTTTGCCAACCACAGAATCCAGCCACTTGTATGTTTGTAATCACCATTCTGTGCCTAAATCTCCAGCACAGAAATGTTGTGCTACCGAAGCAAGAGTCCTTACTAACCGGTACATGCATATCCTGTAAACACAGAATTCTCTACAGTAAGCAGGGATATATCCAGTCGCTTTAAGCAGGGTGTGCTCAAACAAAAGAGATGAGCCCATTTGAGAATGCCTGATGGGAATGCCTCATTGGTCAAGGACACTGCCCACTATGTTTGGAGTCGCTTAAATCCCACAGTGCTTGGGAAGTCTCACTGGCACTTGTCTCTGAGGCTTGTGAAACAATATCAACTCGCCTTTGGGAGGCTTGTGAAACACGATATCAACTCATCTTTGGGAGGCTCACAGTGGAAATATTTCAGGGCATGACCTAGTGTTGCCCATAAGACGGTTGTCCATCCAATTACGGCATACAGAGAGGCAAGAAGGGTCAAGACAGCTGATGCATTAAACATCCATCCATTTGGCTGTGAAAGTTCTCAGATGACTTTGTTGTTTCCAGTCAGTACTCCAGATTCACGACCCATTCAGGCTAGCTGCAGACAGAGTGGGGGAACCAGGCCAGGCAATAAGATGTTCAAGGATGTTCGCACTTGCCTGCTGTCAGTTTCATGGAGTTCTGGATGATACGAAGACCGGCCACTAACAAGTGGTGAGGTTATGATCATCGGGATGGTACAACTCGCTGAGTAACCGGTAGACGTAAGATGGTGCGTTGCCACCTCTGCAAAGGGAAGGAAACAAGTTCCCTTGAATGGTGTGATTTTGGAGGGTTTTGTGGGGTTAAGGAAGGTAAAGCTCAGCCACTACCACTTAACATGGGGCTTGAGGTTCCTTGAGATTTGAAGTACGAAGCATTAGTTTCCTAAGGTTGAAGGATTTTGGAGGATTCAGGAAGACTTTGTTTCGAAAAAAAAGCAAGGGTTCAGAACTGTTTGTAAGAACTACTCTTCAATGAAGACGGGCAACATCTCTATTAAAATAGAGACTGTTAGCAAAGGGTGTCCTCTTTAGTTCATGTACAGAACCAATACAACCATACTCCATATTGTGATTAGATCCGATCAGATTATCATTTATTATCCAAAACTGGGGAAATTCACTTGGCCTTCACAAAAGACAAATTACAAACAGGAAAGCTAAAATGATGGCAAATTAAAAATACACTCATCAGACTAAATTAAAACCCTACTTCTATGGATACATAAGTATAGATTTTTCATCGAATATCCTGATCAACATTCAACATAGATACACTCGAGGTTGAGTTGAATGCTCCAATTTGTAAACACTCAAAGCAGTTCAGTCATCTGAAAAAGCATTAGACCAGTCTAACAGCAGATGAGTCACTTCTTACAAGTTACAACAAGCCCCAAGGAAAATGTATTTTGAGCTTACATGTTGGACAGATAGAGGGTGACTAGCTCTGGTGGGACGTAGTCAAACACGGGATTGTGTATCTGCACCTTGGAGAGGACGTCGCCCTCGGCAAACCTCATCACATCTTGGGGCGACTCAAACTTATTGAAGCCGTCCTGCAAGACAAGAAACAAGGCAGATACTGAAACAGCTGGATGCCTCCCGTAGTGTATGCTCAGGTTAAACCCATCTGGCTTCTTGAATGCGTGGTAAACGTAGCATCATTTACGTCTATGACATGTTGATGTTTCTAATCATGTTTTTAGGTAGTGACTTACCTGATCATAGGAGCATAGATGTTGAGGCGACAGCTTGAACATTGGAGCGCAAACGATTAGCTGAAACATGACCACATTGCAATGAGAGTCAGTAAACCGAGAGCATTCCCGACACTAAACTGGCTTCTCATACATGTTGGGAAGGAGCTGGCTTGAAGACAATACCTACAGCCAACATCAGTCGGGTTGGTCACCTCTTCAGGCTGGGTTTTATGTCCACATGTGGATGGGGCCTTCTCTGATTGCATGGAGATTTTACTCAGAATTACCTCTGAAACAGTACCTGCTTTTCACTATCTCCCGTGTACAGGATTCTTCAGGCTTAAAAGCTATGGTGTCTAGAATTCTTTTGAGGAATCCTTGGTTTTCATACCAGACATGCTTGAAAATAGTATCTACTCACAGGGACCGAGTGGTGCTTGGCCGCCAGTGCTAATGCATAGCTCCCGCTCACAGCTTTCAACCTTAGAGGCAAAGAGAAAGCAGAAAGTGTATGCAGTCTGTAATGGATTCAAAAATCAAGTCTATGGACATACAAGACTGGACATATGGAGACTTTTCGCAAATTGTGTAGTGTCCAATTCCCAGACAGATTATGACAACGAAAACCTTGAGCAATGCCTATAATTACCCGCCATTGGCCATGACTGTGTGAGTACCAATGATGACCTTGTTGACCCTTGACATGATGGCAAAGACGGCTGAGTCGGTGATGACCGTCGTTTGTATCTTCTCTTCGGCCAGCCTTGTTGCCAATTTCTGACCCTTAATTGTCAAATACACAGTATTTGAATCATTAAATCTGGCCGCAGTTTTTGCTTGGAGGTTTTCACTCAAACATGGTCCAATATATCAATGGAACTTACTGGAAAATGGAAAAAACACACAAAAACAAAGAGACCAATGACAACAAATGAACAGACAAAATGAATCTGGCTTGCTAACTGTTCAGTGCTTCCAACAGACAAACCTGATAGGATGGTGCTCCTTCAGCGACTATCACATGAAACTTGCGTTTCCGAGCTGCATTCTAATGTCAATGAGAAAAAGCTATGATAAAACACATCAATCACAAGATTTAAGCACACCAAGAGTTTTGATGTTAAATTTTATCCAGAAACCCTTCGGTGATACAAGACACTTGTATTCCTAGATAAAGTGTTTAGTGGTGATGTAAACGTTTTCAGGTTTTTTAATTCAAGATAATCTGATTTCCAGAGGTGTGCAGGTATTCCAGGTACGAGACAAAGTGAACCTTCCATCTAAAAGATTTGTTTCACTGCAGTATGCAGCTATTTATAGTCTGGTAATTTCTGTCAATTTAAAATTCAAGTGGAAATTTATTTTCCCATTTGACGTGATATCAGTACAAACTTATGTCTTTGTGGTTCAGGCTTGTTAGTGAGTTGTATTCAACCTGAAATGCATGTTTAAAAGTGAATCGTGAAAATTGGAAAGCCTACCAGCAGGAATGCTTGTACTGTGCGCGATTTGCCCATGGTCATGATGACTTCGTTGGAGTGGATGTGCTCCAGTGCTTGCATGGCAATGTTGTCGGCGCTGCTCTCGAGTTCCGTGAACAGCTCGTTGATACTCTCAATGACGCGCACCTGGAAAGTAAGCGTGGACTAGTGGTAACGACTGCAGTTTGAATAACCTTGTGTAGGGCAACAGAAATGCCGTATTTGCAGTCTATTTGCTCCTCGCTCGAGTGGTGTTGTGGGGCAGTCCAGCAAGCTGCTGATATAAATGTACACTCAATGAAAGGTTGGCATTATCATAACGTATACCTTGAGGCTGGGAGTTGGGATGCTGAAGTCATCAACTTGACCTTCAGCCACCAGCATTTTCTGTCATAAAATGAGAGAAATAACTTCAAATACTTCATGAAAACAGCTAATTCCCCCAAAAAAACTTAATGACTAATTTAAAATACCTAAACCAATAAAAAAAATCATCTTGTTGACCCAGAAAGGTCATTTATTCTAAGACATCTCGCACCTGTGCATGACATCAATTGTACCTCCTCTTTTACTAAGACCAGAAACTTGGAGCCTGCCCCATGAACAATAACAGTTTCTGAATTTTGTGCTACCAAATCCCTCAAAATCCTCCAAAACACGACATAGCAATTTTTTACTGATTTTGGGAAAATGTTACGGCAAATGGCTAGAGGAAAAAAGAAAACAACATTGACACTGATGCAGTGGTCAAGTACTGTTCTGGAGAAATGGCTCGTGGAGAATTCTTCCACACCTTGACCTTATGGTTTCGTCACCTTTACTGCAGTTCAATACTGCTCTCGCTACACATAGCACACAAGTTATCTACCTGTGTTTCAAACCAGCCACCTGACCCCAACAAATTCGGTTGAGTGGTTGAGCGTCTGCGCAAGTCTAGCATTTATGTCAATACAGATCATATTCCATCATGCTGAAGGAGCACATAAACATTTACAAAAATGCATGTGTATATTTAAAAGTCTTGACTCACATGCAACGACTCCTGTTGGTCGGCAGAATCCACGCTCTGCCCCTTGATTATTCTGACGGGGTAATGAAATCAGGTTAGTGATCGATCAAGAAAAGACCCACAGTGCAGATCCATGTTGTCTCAGTGTGTGAGGAATCCATCCGACTAATGCTTGAGAGCAGGCTAATTGTTATTCATCAACAACGAGGCACTGGTTATCTGCCCCGAGTTGAATGCGCCCTCAAGGGCAAAGGAGAAACAGGCTCGTGGGAAGTTTTTCAACTGAGCTCATGCATGTGCCCAGCGCACGCGCGAAAACCATGCATTTCATTTTAAATTGGTTGTGCCTTGCTCAATTTGGCCAGTGACAAATGCACTGACGTGCTCCACAGTGAGTACCCTCCAAAGGACTGAAGTTTACATGTAAAAGCACGCCCTCTTTTAGTCCCGCTTGGGCCGGAGAGACAAATCCTGCCGGCAGAATTGGAAGTAACTTCTGCAATGGCACCATGCTTGCACATAGGCTGTAAGGGCATGTTAATTGAGGGCTTGCATGGCTGCCATCTTGGAGGCCCGTGCTTTTATTCCACAGGGCATGCAAAAAGGAATGTTCCCTATGGAAGAAAAGAACTGCCCTACAAGATGGCTACTATGCAAAGCATCTGTAGGTCTTTAAGTAAAAGGGTGCAGCAACTGGCCAAATTACACACATGCTCCTAAAATTTAATATCACACACACTGAGCAATACATGTACCAATGTGGTGGTGGTTTCTCTGCATGGAAAACCAACAAGGAAAACGTCCTCCAGACAGAAAAATTTGTTAAGGGTGCTTTTTTGTATTTTCTCCAAGGGTGGGTACATCACACTCACGCAGCGAATTCTTCCCGGATGATCTTGATGACCCGCCGGACCATGTTGCCCACGGCCGACTCAGCTGGCTGAGCCCCCATCATCCTCAGCCCTTCCTGCCGGATGCGGGCCATCAGCTCGGCCGCGCTGCCCCACCGTGTCTGGGCGATGACCCGACGGAGAAGGGACAGGGTCTGGTGGGCCACGTCATAGGAACCTTTTACCCTTCTATTAAAACAAGATAAAAGAAACAGAAAAAATACAAAATTTACAATTTGAAGAGTGATTATTATTGAATATTGGCAGAACCTTCTTGGTTGGGTGGGGTAGGTGGAGATAAGGGAAGGGTAAATTATGGGGGAGAGGTCAGATTAAAATAGGGTTAATTTTTTATATTGGGTGTTTTGCCATGCACTGACATACATTTACAAACTCTGTAGGTTCATTATTGTCTGAAGGCTTGTGAAAAACCCACAAGCTTGCTCGGGTTCGGCAAAGAAGTGCATATGCAGTATTTATCAGGAAAAATAGATTTGACATCACACTGGTTTTCATGATGACTGTTGAGAATGACAGAATGCTGAATAAACATGAATCAAGAAACAACTGCAATCCCAACACTGACTCACCCCTTCTTAAGATCTGATATGAAGACATTAATTCTCTCAGTCAGATCTGTCATGGTGGATTCGTCTCGGCTTGAAACGATGTTAACAATCTGAAATTTGAGAGTCAAGATGGTTGATTAATATTGAAGTGTTCGCTTATCAAAGCCTTTGCACGGCTATACACCTTTGGTCATGGTGGGATGGATCAAATCCTGTTTTTTAAAGTGGCTTCCTTTCACCCTACCAGGATAAATCTTCCCAGCCATCTCCAGCTTGGTTTCTATCGATACCTCACTGCCAAAATTGCAGCTCATTGCAGCTGAAGAAGTATACTCGGTTCCTATATCATCGCAGTAACTCTATTATCGCAGTATCCAAAATTTTGAATTTTGCGTTCCCAGTGAGTTCCCAATCGGCAATACTCGCCCAGGTATTCAATAATTTATGGCCTGATAAGTTTTATTAAAACAGAGAGAGACATTCTGCATATTTTCATAAGCTTTGATAATTTTTAACAAAAGATGCACTTTTTTCTGAAATTTGTTAATTCTCCTTGACTGTGTCTGTCATTACCTACTGTCTTTCTCTTTAACAGTTATTTCTGACGCCACCCTGCCCTTGGATATCCGTTGCTGGGTTCCCATATGTCAGTTTCAAAATGACAAAAGTGTCTAAAAGTTCATTTTAACTGCCAAAACGCCCCGCTTTTTTTGGAGTCAAAATAACGGCTTCTGCGCTGAAAAACATTTTGCGTGCGTAAAGCGTGTCGCTTTTTTTTGCTTTTCTTATACAACTTGAAGAATTTGCAATGGATATTTAGAATTTGTAACATAAATTTTGAATAAAATAGTTCAGGTCTAATGAGATGGTTATAACTCTCACAGAATAAGAACTCAGAAGGAAGACATTTTTAACAATAGTTTCAGACATTGACAAAAAAATGAGTCCACCAGAAAAAATGAAGTTTGCAACACCAACATGAATAATTATTCCTTGGGCAAAACACCAATCTAAATAATAAGATAAATGTCAAAGTTGTAGCTACATTTAAGATTGGAGTAAACAAGTTCTGGTGAAATAAAAGAAGTCATTTCTTTCCAGATTACTAAGTGTAAGGTGATGCAGTGCAATTGTTCCCATCGTGTTCTCTTAGCATTTGGCATCTATAAGGAAGAGACTGGAAATATGGAGTCAATTACAGGTAAAATGGAACATTATCACAAAATGAGGCTATTTTGTTTTTCTCTGAAAACAAAATCATTCTTTATATCTTTATTTATTCATAAACAAAGTGCTTTAAAGGCCATCGTTGAAACCATTCCTGGATACCGCGATAATAGAAACTTGATCTTCATTTGCATACGGTGCACACACAAAGTTTCTGAGCTATCACAGAGGAAAATAAATAGAAACACAAACAAATTTTTATGAATAAAGTTAAAAAGCAAGAGTTAAATAACAACACGGATAGGATAATTCAGGAAGGTGAGCAAGCAATCTTTATTTCAATCAGGAAATGTGATGACTACCGTGATAATAGAGTAACCCATCCTACATGTACACTGTAGTTGTTGCTACCAAAGCTCAAGCAGTTTTTTCGCTTCCCTAGTTAGTCTATAAAGTGCTGCCTCCCGTTTGCCCTTGTACCTAATACAGACTAACGTGGCCATCCACAGTTTTATTTTTTTAATACATCATTAATAAAAATTAAATTAGTAAAACAATCATGTTGATCTTTCTGTAACCTCCCCAGTAGCGTAAAGCTGTGTTAGCGGCTCATGATGACCAAGAATGACCAGCAAGTATTGGGGGGAGAGGCTTGCCACTCCCTCCCCCAACCCCCAATAAATTGGGTTTCACAGGATCTGTGCATTTTTCCAGTGCTAGCCCACGAAATTTCCCAGTATTTTACAGTCAAAGTTAACTGAAAATCTGTGCCATTTCTTTTTTTTTTATTTTTTGTTAATCCCTTCTCGACGGGAATTTCTTTCTGAAAGCCAACTCCAAGAATTCCAGCCTTGCTTCACCACGAAGGCCACCTGCCAAACCGCAAATTCTCAGTTTGTGGCCCAGCATGCTCTGCACGCTTTGAATTACACAGTGAAAAGGCTGATTGTTCAGTGGCATGGGGCTCTACTCAAGCTTCCACATTCCTGTTGCCTCTTTTCAAAGTGGAGACTTTTGTGAAGCTGGTGACTATGATGCAAATTCGGTCTTTTCATTTCCGGGCTACACACAAAGACCAAATACACAAGAGCCAGGGTCTGCCTTCTTTCACCGTGTTCGCTCGAGCGTGGGCCAAGAATAATAGCTGAAAAGTGGGCTGAGGATCTCAATTTTTTACGGCGTGTTGTAACGCATCCCGGCATGAAGGGGTTAATAGGAAAAAGGCAAGGCTTTCTTTTTGGAATTGGACATGTTGGAGAAAAACAAGTTATGAAAAAAGTTGTTTCTCTCTCTCATAAAACTAAAGCCCAGCAGTACAGGGTGAAAATTTGGTCTCTATTCATTTAGGCTAACCATGCCGACGTTTATGCTCGAACTTCACTCGGTGGCCTACACGTACAGAGTGCATGGAGTGTGTTCCTGCAAAATGCTCAGCCCGCCCGTCGCCGTATGGTACCCAGCGGGGACACACGACCACCAATTAGCGATACAAGGCATGGCAAGCAACAGAGCTCATCCCTGCTCATAGGAACTTCATAAGCTATAAGTTCCAAGTCTTTGTCTTTGTGCGAGTCTTTGTCTTTTACAAAAAAATATGTGAACGGAAATTATACTCACTTTTTCCGGCGTGAAATCACTGATAATCTCTATAATGTAATAATAGAAAACTTAGAGATCATTGTGTGAAATGCACAAACAGCACTGTTGACCAAACGACACAAATTAGCGCCCTCAATTGAAACCTACAAGTAAAAACTCGATTGAGGGAGCTACCCGTATATACATGCATGATATGTACTGTATGTGCATACATTGTACGTATATGTGTCTACCCTTCCTTAGCGCCGTACTTTCTGCTGCAAGTCGCGGCAAGTACCTCACAAGTTCACATTCACGCATCCCATCGTAATGAGTAAGTGAACTTACGCGTAGAACAACGTTGCGGAAACCCAATTTATAATAAACTTATTAACGATAAGAAGATTGGAAAGACTTCCATATGCGGACGGTCAACGCTTGATGCTGTGCTTCACAAACTCACTGCTCATGAGACCATTTTCTAAGCTATTTGTCAATTTTTAGCTTGTTTTGGACATGATGTTATCACTCTCTGATGGTTTTTAGGGAAAATTGGTGTTGTCCATATATAAATGGAATGCTTTCCAGTAGAAATTAAATTCCAGAAGATTTTCTGCATTGCTTTGCTTTGACAAGTTTGACTCACTTTGAGTTAAATGTTATTTGCTGTATTTTCAGCAAGTCAAGTCATCCCACACACATGACCAGATCATCAGGATCATGTGCACATGCACTGTCCGCGCCATGGCTGCTGTGTAAGGAGATTGATTTGGCAGCCTCGGAGATTAAGCCATAAAAGAAGGCAGCATGGGTAACGTACTTCATCAGAATTTCTCCCGTTGTAAATAATTCTAAAAAGTTTTAGGGCCTACATGGCCTAGGCCTACTATAGAACTACTCTTTAAAAAATCCCTTCCCTGTTGTGATTGTTGTATAGACCTACTAACCGTGACTTAAATCATAAGGTAGGAAATCATACTGCCGCAACTTAACAAGTTTTGAAACGTTTTTGTTAATGTTTAAATTTTGCATCGGTGGAAATATTGTCGTTGAATGATAAAATTAGTTCTGTATAATATATCACTGATATATGACTATGAAAACATAGAATATGGGAATTTTAGAAGAGCCTGAAACACCCTTTTAGTGGCAGGATAAATTAAAGGTACCTTTCATAAAAACTACATTTCAAAAATTTACGTTACAAAAATCATTGTTCTATGGCTCCTTAACTTTAACTGTGGTTTTTCTTTCACTCACAGAGCAATGGCAAGTTGGCGACAAGTGCATGGCTCCTTATTCGGGGGACGGTCTGCACTACCGGGCTTGCATTAAGACGTTGACCAAGAAGCTGCAAGGACGAGTGATGGCATCTGTGCGATTCAGCGGCTTCACGGAAGAGGAAGATGAGATTGTCGATGTCCGACATCTCAAGAAGCGACCTGCCAGGGTTTCCCGAAACAAGACTGGCTCTCACACTGACTCTGGTAGCGATTGTTGGCATTCTGTTTATTTGCGGTAATGAGACCCCATTATGTAGGTCGGTGTAAGCCAACAAGCCAAGAGATATTGTGTACACTGTTAAGCGTTTTTGTGACTGGTTGCCAGAAAATTCGCTAGGTAACATGGAGAGTTTCAAAGACATCTTTATACTTTGCTGGAGTACATTGTCTGGACTGATACGACTTGGCATCTGTTGTTTCTTCAATGCTTTGCAGGTAGTTCCAGCTCAGTTTCTGCTCCATCTGTGTCAAGTCCTTTGAAATACATGACTGAGGAGGATAGATTAAGGTAAGATAATTTATCAGTCTTTGTTGTCTTGTATACTTGTATTTATATTCTGGTACATTTGCCTTGCTAAGGTGGGACCCCAATGGAAATAAGCCTGTGTAATTGGCTTTTGTGGGCTATCCCAGAATTAAGCAACTGTATCTTTCTTGTTTGTATGTAGACAAACATCTGAGCCAAAGAAAGAGTGATTAGTTCATAGGTGATAAGTCGTGATATATTTGTATGATATGTAAACTGTTTAGGACCAAATATGCAGACCTGTTTGACGACGGTGACGACAATGGTTGGACTGGTGCCAAAACGAACAAGCCGGAAAGTTCATCTCATTCCCCCGTCGCAACATCATCATCATCGTTGTCATCATCAAGACTTGCCTCGAGTAGCAACCAGAAGAGAAAGATCCCCGTTGCTGTGGGAGGGGAGCTCAGGAAAGGAACCGAAGATGCGGCACCACCAAAAAAGTTTGTGCTCAACTATATGAAGGAAGCCGTTGTTCAGACGGTTTTCACACAGATTTCAAGAATTGCCTGCATTGCAAAGGGATAAAAGAACAAGTTTCTCACTCATGATCAGACACTGTAGTTAAAAATATGCAAATTTCAGTAAATGCATTGTCACCATTCCACCTGAAGATGAAGATACGTATTCATCAAATTCTAGCCACACCCCTAATGAAGGAGGAGTAGGTCTATCCTTGTGGAGGATTGTGCATCTAGGACACATATTTATCAATTTACGAGTCATGCAAGTTTTCATGTCAGCTCAAGGCCGAGATGAAAGCAGTCAAAGATTTCTTTGTTTTCGATTTTGGTTTGTTGGTCTTTTTGAGGGGGAGGTGTTTCTGTTTTGTACATTTCATCTTGGAAGAAGAAGTTGGCCCGTGATTGACAACAAGTTCTTGCAAAATTGTCATTTTTATTATTATTAGATGGCTTGCGTCTCCTGATGTGCCTCCGAGTTTGCTTGACAGACAACCAAGCGAGAAGGATTCATTCGGGTTTCTTGATGAAGGTACCGCATAATGACAAATTAGGGATGACTCACAGTTCAAGGTTTTAAAATTCATTCTGGGTACAGTGCATCAGCAAAGTGATTACGTAATTGAGGTCAGAGATCTGCATGGGCACAGTAAAGTTGGATCATGCTGTAGTTAGCGTGGCGGCTACCGACTATGGGTTTGTCGTCTTTTTTGCTGTCAACACTAAAGCAGTTTGTTGATATTTGTATGAACGATCAACAAGCAGACGAGGAACTGTGGAAGTGATTTCAATAACAAACCTTCCATGGATTAACTACTCACCGAGTACTCACCGAGTAACCTGCGATAAGTTGTCCTTACAGAGCGACTGGGTAAACTCGTTAACTTCAAATGGCCGATTCATTCATTATGCATGAAGTTTGATCCATCGCCGGGGATGTGTGGTGCACTAAGTCAGTATTACTTAACTCTTCTCCGTAGTAGGGCTGTTAAGAAACTAGACTACAGTATGTTTGCACTCTTGCTAATGTTGCCACTTTTTCATGGCTATCCAAATTTTCAAAATTGTTCACATTCTTTCTATTTCTTGCATGCGTGAAGCCCAGCTCTGTTGAAATTGTAGCTCAGTGTACGTTCTGAAAAATTCTTTAAACAGTTTTCTTGTTTTGGCAGTGGAAAGCTTAACCAAGCTCTTGAATCCGCACAAAATCTTAAATTTCTCAGTTTGCCAAGAGACCTGTTGACCTTGCCTAACTTCTGAAAACAAATATTTGATTTGAATACTGAAAACTGGAAAAAGTTGTTGTCCATTCCACACCTGCGGTGGATTTACTCATCGTGTGTTGTTGTCAATCCTCCAGGCTTCAGCTGTGAGGAGATGGAGAAACCATTCTTCCCCGGCGTGTCCTCCGCCAGCGCCAAGGTCCCCCTGGTCTTATCCCAAGACGGCTCAGAGTCAGTTGTTCAGGCAAGTCACCCTCGTTCAAAGATGTGTCATTAATTGTTGTTCATGTTGGACATTGCCAGAGTTTCTTTTACCACAAATCTTCCTGACTGTGCCAAGTATGTTGTTCAGGACAGACTCTAAGCTGATATTTGCTAAGCACAAAATGTTGTTAATCATTATTTGTCTTTCAAGCACCTCAGGAAAATGAAAGTAATGCAGGCAAAATAGTGTACCACCAAATATTGAATGTACCTGTCTAGAGTACATTTCCAGCATTCAGGATAGTTTCTGGCCAGTGGTAGAAGATTGAGTCTCTGTGTACATGTACTCTCAGGTCCCGGCAACTGTAAACCGATACTTGAGGGATTACCAGAGGGAGGGGGTGAGGTTCCTGTATCAGCAGTATCGGAAGGGAGAAGGCGGCATATTGGGCGACGACATGGGATTGGGTAAAACCGTGCAGGTGAGCGAGTGTCGAAACCATGCCAAATTGTGTCTCAGATACTGTGAGTTGATTAGTCTAGGGCAGTAAGTGTTGTAAGTCAAGCTGTTAAAAAAAGGAAGTCGGCTTTACGTCACTTGTCTTGTAATGTCAGTTTCGTCACACAGGCAGCATCACATGGTTTGTTTCAGTGAATTTTTTCTATATTAAACGAAAGCTCTCACAGCATTGTACATCTGACTCATTTAGTTTTGAGGATGTGGAGTAACATGTGTCTATCCCCCAGGAGCTGAAGCACCCCCTCATCGGTTGAAAAGAGCCATGTTGGTCAGGAGGTTCATTTTGTAGGTAGCGATGTGACTGCAACGCTTGTGTTCCATCGTCGTTCGTGAACCAGCGATGCTCAGTTACTACCAAAGGAGCTTTCGTTGCTAGGAAAATTGCGCCCTCTCTGTCCAGCTCGGGCCCATTGTGGGCAGTACACATGGACCTTATTGCAACCGTCAACAGTGGTCAAAAATAGCCAGGAGGAAGATGGTAAAATGTAGTTATCTGCTGGGAGCTGGTCCTGTCTGTTTTGAATACCTGCTGAGATAAATGGTACGAGGAGTTTCGGTATCGATTCTTTTCCTTTCACAGGTCCTGGCCTTTTTGTGTGCCGTACTCGGAAAAACAGGGACCAGAGAAGACTGTCAGAGGCGTCTGCCAGAGTTCTTACAAAAGGTTAGACAGGCGTCATGACTTTAAGATCTTTGTCTAAAATCAGGAACTTTGCAGTTTTAAAGTCTGTATAACCATGCATAGAAAATATCAACACAAACAATTTACACTCTGCTTTGTTGGTAACAGCACACAGTCATGGTTGTCACTGAGTTACGGGTATAGGCTTTGCACAAGGATGAAAAAAGGCACCCTGTTAACAGGACAAGACATTGTTCCTTTATTGTTTGCTCATCTCCGAAAGGAGAATGGCCAAACTGGTCATGAAAAAAGTACAAGCCCCCCTGGTTTGCGTGCTCTGAAGACACTGCTCCTAGTCATTGGGTACCCGTGACGTGCCCGACATTGATGGTATCTCCCTGACAATTTTGTGCGATCTGGCCGGCGCCAACAGAAACTGAAGACAGTGCGTGGCCGGTCATCGGAGGTGTTCCTGATCATATGCCCCAACTCGGTGCTCTACAACTGGCTGGATGAGTTTGACACCTGGACATACTGTACGGTCGGGTCAGTAAATATTACTTACCGCTCTTAATAGGACTGGGAGTTGTTGTTAAGGGCACACAAGGACAATTGAAATCAACAGACTGTATTCATTTGTCGGCCATCTTGAATTGAAAAACAGGTTAACTTTTCATTTGAGGGACCCAAGAGAAAAAATAACTGCATCAAAATAAAAGTTCCTTGTATATTCATGTCAGTTTGTGTTAAAAACAATTTAATACCTGTGAGAATTGTATCTGAATGCTTTAAGCCACATTTAAAGGAAAATACGAAAGAGGGGCTTAGAACCCCAAATGGTCAGACCCTACGCCATTTAACAGATTACACCAAATATGATAGATTCAGGGAACAGGATTCAAAATGGCTTCCCCGTGAATAAGGCCCATTGTTTCGAGAGCGTTGATCTGTTTCATGAAACGGAACAGCAAAGGGCTTTCTAATGACAGACTTGACACTTTCTTATAATTTACCTTCATCTGCTGACCGTTACTTTGCTTTCACCTCAAGGAAGTACCATGGTCGGGAGAGACAAGAAACACTATGGAAAGCCATGAAGGGCAAACTTGATGTTGTAATAACGAGCTACGAAACCTACAGGATCTATATGGTGAGATTCCTTTGGGTTGATGTAGTTTGGTAAATTTACATAAAACCCAGATTGCTCACAAGCACATGACATCCATGATTTAACAGTGGTTTCACTTTAAAATCTATTAACCCTCCTTTGGTTTTACGGCACAAATATGCACAAGTGCCCACAGTCACTGTCTTGCATGTGTTTTCTATATGGAACTCAAACATGCACAGGTTCAGTGTGTACACAGTAGATTGCCAGCACGAAATGACCTAGGGTCTTTTGTGCAGTCCTCTTCACTGCATTTGGTTTCTTGCACAATTATGCACATGAAACATTGAAGCACAGTTGTTGGGCAGCACAAAAGTGCAATCTGATATTCCTGTGAGGGACTGTTGGTGCAGTGCACAGCAGGACACAGCTGTGCTTCTTTGAGGTGTTTACCAAGTGACCCAAAGAGTGACTTCAGCATAGGAGGGTTAAAATTCTGCCAGACTATGATCAAGAGCTCTGTGTACTGCCGGAAAAGTTTACCACAATTTAAGCAGTCAGGCAAGTTTTACTTTCCTTTTGTGATGTTCTTTTGTTCTGTGTTTGTCGCCAATTTTGCAGGATTCACTGTTGAAAGTTCAATGGGCAGGAGTCATAGCAGACGAGGTTCACAAAATCAAGGTGGGTATAACGAAGTGACCAATTAGAGCCACAGGTCTTCAAATAAACAACAGGAGAAGCTCCGAAGGTGGCAGGCTCAAAACCTGTTATGATCAGTTTTCTTCTATCAGCCCCCAAATTTAATTCCATTGTGCTCCAAGTGATATTTTGTTTTGTGGTAAATTGGATGGACTGAAATGAAACTGTAGCATCTCTGAGTGATCCCAAGTTGGCACCATGCCAGTGTTGTGGTCGAGTACTTTTGAAGTTTCAAGTTCAGTGCCTAATATTGAATTGGTTAGGAGGGAACAAAGCTCAAGAATGTGGACATTTGATGGTAAATACACAGTGGTGACATTACCAAAAGATATTTAACTTAAGACTTCAGACTTTCCCAATTTTGTACATAATAAGTTTTAATGAGAAAAGTACTGGAAAAGTACTTGACTGAGTACCTATCAGGCCTTTTTGTTATATTAAACGGCGATGGGCCGAAGTCATCATTTTATTTTGTAATTTCACCTTGGTGAATTTATTGTCCAACACCCATGTTCTTGACCTTTGTTCCCTCCTGAGCAGTTCAATATTTGACAGTGAAATTGATACTGAAAAATACTTGACTACAACACTGCTCTGTGCTAATGTTGCTGGCAACATAACATTAACCCTAACCCTCCTCAATCCTTCACCTGTTGGAGGACCAAGGAGTGTTAGGGTTAAGAAGGAACACTTGTCCTGTGGCACGTATTGGATTCATTACCTCCAACTAGCATGCCATGAGTAGACACTGGCCAGTGAGGAGACAGCCAGCTATATGTTTTGGTAGCTAAAGTGGTGGAGCACTAGTGTAGCATTGCACAGGCCATTGGGTCAAACTCCATGTCAATCAGTATTCTTTCAACTGAAAAGGAAATAATAGGGAAATCACATTCAGGCGATTCAACGAAAACTGGCTTCAGCTAAAAGTTAATTTGTTAAAGCTGCAAACTTGTGTACTTCAGTTCTGGGAATCCCCACATTGTCTTTAAAACAGACTAAATAGTTGGATAGAGAACCTAACTTGTGGAAAAGGAGCTCTGCCAGCATTACCAAAGATGTCCCCCTCCACTTTCATTGTGCACGTTTTTGGTAACAGGAGCCGGGGTCCCAGATCACGCAAGCCTTGAGAGAAGTGAACACAAAGCGGCGCTACGGTTTGACAGGGACGGCACTGCAGAACAAACTCTCAGAGCTGTGGTGCGTGTTGGACTGGTAAGTCCTTGACAACCAGTAAGAAAAGAAGGCTGGAAATTCATTCTTACGTTGTTTTGTATCCAAACCAAGGCATGTTTAAAGAAGTAGTTTTAGATATCTTGAATTTGACTCTTCAGTACCTCAAGTTAGGGTCTTGGTTCTCTGCAGAGACTCTTCAGATTTTGTCTATCGTGCATTCTCTCTGGAACTTTCTTCCTCCTAGCCTGTTTCCATTCCATCTGTAGTCATTGTAAAATTGTGTATCCTCTATCCCCTTTTAATTTTGTCTTTGCTTGCCTTTTGTAGCCTGCACCATGAGTTGATTTCGGACCTTGTGTCAGGCAATATCCATAAAAAAATAGAAAAGTCTTATGAACATAAAATCTAAGTCTGAAACTCCAGTTGGGACAAAAATCCTGACCTTTGGAAGAACATGACATGAAAACGTATGTGGTTTTCACATCGTAGTCCACTTTTATAAGCTGTTACCTCACACCTTCCATAATTCATTGTTTGAACTCTGAAAAGTACCAAATCTCGTCCGCCATTGGTTGAATTGTCCTTTCCTCTTAACCTCAGGGCCAATCCCGACTGCCTGGGCTCCCTGGCCAAGTTCAAGCTCCGCTTTGAGGATCCCATCTCCAAGGGCCAAAAGTTCCATGCCAGCAAGCGAGAACTCGCCAAGAGTAGAAAGGGTGCAGGATTGGTTAATTTATTTCAGGGCTGTTTACACAGATAAGATGGGAAGTGTGCTCAACACAGAAAGTGTTTGCTCGGCAAAGACGGATTACCAGCTAAAAAAATCATGTTGTACATATTGCTTGCATATTGCAATTGGTGCTCGGCTCATTTTTGCTTAGCGTTTGAATTTGCCTGGCAAGATTCTCTACTGGATAGCAGTGACACCAATTTCCCCACAGATGTGCATGTGTCGTTTCCCACTCTAGCTAAGCACTCAGATGTGTCTTAAGAGCACTGTTTTGTATTTTTACCCATACTTACTTACTTCAGTCTTACTTTATTTACCGCCACAAAAGATAGGGTAAATACACATTATTAAGATTGATTATATCATTAGGGTGGACGGGGGTCGCTAAAAAGCAAAGCTTGTCTAGAAGCGGCCCCACATTAATTAAGTTAAGGTTACATCAAGAGATTACACATGTACACATACCCTTGGTGAGAGCACCCTAATGCACAGATTTCATATTACCACATTTAATACTTGGACAGAGGCAGTGTTGTAATCAAGACCAAGACAAGAGACAAGACCAGTCACAAGACCAGTCACAAAACCAGTTCCAAGACCAGCCATACGTAACAGAAGTCATAAGCAACAGTGAAAAGGAATGTTTTTGTTACTGTTCCTTTGAATAGTTTGTGACTGGAGTACAGAATGGATGTCTTATGTTGGTGTTTTGATAGCATTGTAATGGTCCTCATGGGGTCTTAACTTGAACAGTGGACAAAGTCAAATAAACTGTCGTTCTGAGCTATAACTATGCATTTTCTGGTGGGTTGGAACAGTTATTGAATGCACTGCGAGTGACCAATGCATCGGCATATTTCTTTTCCTTGATTCACGTTTTGCTTTGTGTTGGGTTTGTAGTATCAACTCAGTTTGCTGAGCTGCGAGACCACTGGATGATCAGACGCACCAAGGCATTGATCAGTCACCAACTACCCACCAAAGGTAGATCTAACAAGTTGCCAGGCCACGTAGCCATCCACAGATAGTTCAGGCTCTGAGGAAATAGGCTTTATTACCGTGGACCGTAACTATCAGCTCACGTTTCATTGGGACTGTCACTAAACTGCACAAACCTAAAACGGTGCAACATACCAATGGCTCATTAGTTTGTCTTCAAGAGAAAGATTCTGGCTATCAGAACTGAAGTGAAGTGATTTTGTGAGGTTGAACAGGTGTTTTAGTACGGCAGTCTTGGTATTGACATATTTGAGACTTTCAGTGTCACTTGGTGTTTATATTCTGGGCAGATGAGAAGGTGGTGTTTTGCAAACTGACCGAACTACAAGTGAGCATATACAAGGCACTGCTGGAATCTGAGGACATGCAGTTAGTCCTCAAACAGAAGGACTTGTGTGACTGCGGGAGTGGAGGCACATGCATACAGTGTTGCTATAAGGTCAGTGCATTGAAGGCAATCTAGAAAATAAGTAACTTGATCTGTCAAAATGAGGCTCAAGTTCAATGACTACTTTGCAAAACGAAATTGATTTCAGGTGTTTTTGCTCTATTAAGTAACTCATCCCTCACAGGTGCCATTTTTTCGTAAAACCAGAACAGATGTTTTTCCTCTGCCTGAAGAATTAAAGTACTGAGATGTTTAACACTGCTTCAGATAATTCTATACCTGTGTCAAGTTTGTAAGCAGCAGTGATTCTGCTAAAATTGAACTGTTATTTGACCTTAAGTTTATAGATAAATTTCCTCAGATAGTAACAATTTTATTATTATTGTTAATGAAACCAAGGATTCCTCAAAGCACCTTAGGCACTGTAGCTCACAAGCCTGAAGAAACCGGTAGAGAGGAGACAGTGAAAAGCAGTGTTAGGGGCAGGGGGAACCCCAAAATAGTCTGGGTAAAATCCACGGCATCAGGTAGGAACGGAAAACCCAATCCACACAAGGACCGAACCCAAGAGTCAAATGTGTCTGCAGGAGTGAATGGCAAGGAAAGACCCACAATGCCAACCTGACTGGATTAGATCTGATTAGATTTTTCGCTATTCGTTTTATTTGAGATAAATTCTTTCTATGCTATTTGACGGCTAAGTAGATGTGAATAAATTATTCGGGTAAAAGTGAAGTTTTGATATCTGCCTCTCCTTGCTGGTTCCGCAGTACAACCCTGATGGTGAAAAAGTGAAAGCCCTAACAATGACGTTCATGAGCCTGTTGATCAAAGTGGCCAATCATGTCGCCTTGCTCACGCCAGACGTCACCATGTCCGACCAGCAGCGGCGGCGAGCACAGAAGTACTGCGACATCGCATTTGCCCGCCACCCGCAGTTTGTGACGCTGAGTCGAGAGGCACGGTTCTGTACTCTCTCCGACCCATCTTACTGTGGGAAGATGCAGGTAGTCTCTTTCCAAACTTATCATTTCTCGTACTCTAACCCCAACCTGGTATAAGTTAGGACATGGTAATGCTGAAGCCCTTCGCGCCGGTAATTCCTTTGACCCTGACTGCTGGGCTGTAGTTTGCCCTGAATGGAGGGCTTTGTCCAGCAGCAGGCCCCATTGAACCAGCAGCTGCATGGTGAATAGACTGCATGTGTGGTATGCACTAATCCTCACACAAAGCCGCGTCTCTTGCCGTCTCCCGAAGCGAAGGGGTTAACTCTCCTCACACACCCCAGTTCTGTACTTAGCTGTTTATTTTTGGTTACCGTTTTCTAAAGTACAAGGTCAACGAACTTCACTGCTGGGTTGACCCCTGACCTGGAGAATTGCCAGGCCTACCTGTTTCTGGAATTTCCCACCAAACAGGATGCTCCCCATATGGACATGTTCAAAATTTCTCTCCTTTGTTTGTGCATGTATGGATTCTTGGTCTCTATCTGTGTGTACATGTGTACACAAAATGCCTTCTACTGTGTGTTCAGTGGGCTTAATCAGCCCCCTTAGGTGTGACCGACACTCACCATTAATTGTCAACCTGCGTCACAGGGTCCTTGGTTTAAATATTGGTGGGTGTGGCCTGCAAATATTGTAAGGGGAGGGTGCTTGGAGGGATTGAAGCAACTATCTGGTTCAGGATCATTTGATCAAAGAATGCATGCATTAATCAAATATTTTGCCAAGTAATTATCTCTAAGTATGTGGTGCAGTCTAATACTATATCATTAGCCAACTTTTATATATAAAACTCTGAATATTGTTAAGCTCCCGACAGTCACACGTTTGCACAAGAGAATATATTAAGCAGTGTTGTCCTGATGGTTGTTACTATTTCCAAGATACTGGAGAAGCTCTTGGCAATTTTCAAGCAGGAGGGCAGCAAGGTTCTCCTCTTCTCCTACTACACTCAACTCCTCAACATCATTGAGATGTACCTCAAGACGACCGATTACGTCTACCGCCGACTGGACGGCAAGACGCCGGCCCAGGACCGACAGAAGTTCGTCCACGAGTTCAACAGGGACCCCGATATATTCCTCTTTCTCATATCCACTAAGTGAGTGACAAATTTGGAGTGGTTTGTGGTAGTGTGGGTGCCTGTGAGGGTGAGGCAATGGTTATTGTGGTTGATTTAGCTGCGTTGCGCCGAAAATGGCAGCATCGAGCTGTATTCTCCCCAGGGAGCTGAGATGGTATTTGGAATGTTTCATGGGCCCAGTGAGCAGGGGTAATCATTATAATGGAATTGTGCTTCGATCGGTTGTCTGGATAAGTGCGCTATATAAATCTATATTATTATTATTATTATTAGAGTCATTTTGGCGTGATGTAGCTTGTGTGTGGTTCATATTGCTGATCTTAGTGGAATGAACTGCTTTATCCTTACACTTTTTCCTGATATCATAGGATGTGGATTTCCACCAAAATCTTGATTCATAGCCTGGATTTTCTCTTCTTTTCTATTCGAGCGTATGCTTTAACTTTCACTGTCAACATTTGGTTGGATTAGAGCTGGAGGCTTGGGGCTAAACCTGACCGGCGCCAACGTGGTCGTCCTATTTGACCCCAACTGGAACCCGACCTACGACCTCCAGGCCCAAGACAGGGCCTACCGTATTGGCCAGCACCGTGACGTCCGAGTGTACCGGCTGATCTCCACGGGGTCCATCGAGGAGAACATGTACCTTAGGCAGGTTTACAAGCAGGTCAGTGAGCGCGAGCGCTTTGTCCAGTTACTGCCTCAGTCTGTCCCAAGATTAACTAGTGCTTCAGGACAGCTTCTCGTCCTTGACAAGCGCTGTTTAGTTGGTCAAGCTCACATAATAGCACTGACCTTTTACACTGTACAACATGCTTCAGAAATATATATCTCCAAACATCTGTGCAGATTAGCAACGGCCCCGGTCATAAGCCAGTGGCATGTAATTTATATATGATGGTTTTTATTGGTCCAACAGCAACTAGCGAGTGCGGCAGTCACGTCCGAGAACCCCATGCGATACTTCACTGCCGTGGCGGGCGATCAGAAACAACAAGGAGAGCTGTTCGGTTTGCACAACATGTTTGCCCTGAGAGCCGACACCTCCTGCCTCACTAGAGATCTCATTCAGGTGGGGGCAGTACACGAGTCTATTACACACCGCAAAGTCATCTCACCTGTGATCCCTCAGGCCTATTTGGTCTGTGCATGGCCTGCAGAGGGAGCTGTATGACCTCAGAAAAGTCATGGAAGGACACATTATGTGAGAAGTTCGGGTTCGCACGCTGTACAGGGGCAGTGAACTAGCAATCATATTTCAGTTGAATGTGTACAACCAATAGCATGTACGTATGAAATGAAAAACTTGACTTTGCAATTTGAAATCTGCCTTTTGCTCTTCATGGCAGTCACAGAAAATGCAAGAACAACAAAAAATACAAGTCAGCAATAGCGGCATAATCATCCAAAAAAGCTTTTATCGGGCATGTTTTCACAAAAAAAGACTGAAACAATAGCAAGAGGTTTCAATTCTTTCCTATAATAGAAACAAGTTACCAGTTTATCAACTTCCATGTAGTGAACTCAAGAGGCCAACCAAGAATCCTATTGTCTTTTTGCTATGTATTTAAAGGGATAATCATCGCACTGTGTAAAATCAACAACAAATGAATAAAAGGAAAATCTAAGAATTCTTCATCTTTAACTACTTGCTGCCGAGTGGCTTTTTCTTGAGCAAGACAAGATGCCGGGTCCTTTTCAAGATTTTTCGTTTTCAAAATTCTTCAAAAATTCCTCATTTCATTTAATGGCCGTTTATACCCACATGAAGGGCTCTTTGGGCACTACTCCTAAGCTGACAGGTAAACTTCATTGACTCCTGAATATTTCAGCCAGGCCTGCAGCCTTGGAAAAAGAGCCTAGAGTGTGCAGTGTTATGTAAGATTCTTTTGTTCCCGAAACCGGCATAGTGCACTGCTGACCTCTTTTCAATAGGGGCCAGATTAGCGTACAGCAGTGCTGTGTGGCTAATCGCTGCGGTGGTGGAGAGCTTTTGTCCCCGGTGATAATCCGCTCACTCTAAATGCCTCAAACCGTGGTATACTGCTTCAAAACAAGGCTGGATTATCTCCACTATTGAGAGCAAAAAAATGTCGGTAATGCCCAGCAGCTCAGTCTTTTGTGCTGAGCACGGTCTTTTGTTATAAGGCCCAACTCTTTTGTCCCAGTTCCAGGCTCCCTGGCTCTGCATATAAAGCCTATGTACCCGAAAACGGGTTGCCTGGCAGGAAGAACCACTTCCTGCTAGGCGACCCGTTTTCGGGTACAAGCTGTTTTGAGTTTTTTTGGTAAGTTAATCAAACTTACCAAATAAAACTCAAAACAGCTTGAGACACATCAGTGTCATTTTCACAGAAGAGCTGAGAAAACGCTTGATAATCAGGGAAACCAAGTCCACTGGATGATTGTTTTCTTCCATTTCAGCGCCACGGTAAGACTGAGCAGGGTATCACCTTGGCCAAGTACATACCGCCTCCACCCACCCAATCGGATGCTGATCAGGTAATTCACATTCCCTCCTTGAGATAGAGCACATCATTATGTGCATGCTACACCCTGGCAGTGACTTGTACGTCCGATATTGGCCTGCCAAGTGTTGATGTGTTCAACATTTCTTAGGGTTGGGGATACATGACACCCACGGCAAAACGTAACAGATGTACACAGTGCCCAAAGTTTGGAAGTGACACCAGCCCTATCCTCCTCCCCCAGTTATTTTAGAAATAAACAGTTGACATCACATTTTAGTCGTTGACATGAGTAAGCTTATGCTAATCTTTTCAGTCACAGTGATACCTTACCCGTCTAGAAAGCATGTAATACGTTACTGAACTTGAGGAGGACTCTCCCTACTATGACAACATGCCATTTTGTCCCAGTACTGCAAAGATTTCTCAGTAATTTTAAGTCATGAAATATGTGACATAAAATGGAAGATTTAATCTTGTGCCATGAACCAGATTTGTGAAAAAAATCTCTTCCTGTATATACATGTATGCATTGTGGTACAGATCTCCAGAGAAGAGGCCTTGACAGATAGTGACAGAGACAGTGACAGTTCCCATGGCAACCGTAGGGATGCCAGTGCTGCGGATGATCATGGTGTGGCATCGCAGTTCCTTAGTGACACTGATTTCAGCGACTATTGTGAGGAAGAGATGAGGTGTGACCCAGAGAAGCCAACCATCAAAGAAGCTTTCACCGAAACAGGAAAAGACGTGTCCAAATTGACAAAGCTCCCCGGGAAAACAACGGCGGAGAATGGCCACAAAGGGCGCACTGCCAACCCTGCTGCCAGACCAACTTTGAAGAGGCAGCGCAACCGAGCACAGATTGCAACCGACTTGAGTTCAGGGGAGGACGAGCCGGTGGATCGTAGGGCCACTCGCGGGAAAGCCATCCTTCACAAGGACGGACGGATCGAGCGCCGTGTCAAGGGCACTGCCACAGCTCAACCAAAGCGCAGCACGCTAAACCCTAGGGCCAAGGGTCACACCAGCCAAGGCAAGGAGTTAAAGGTCACAGCAACCGTGAAAAAGGGCCTTAAGTCGACAGGAAGGAAGCGCAACCTCACAAAGGAAAAGAGCAAGGTTCCCGCTAATGCTGTGGATGATGTATTCAGTAAGTGTTCAAATCATATGGCACCGAAGATATTTAGGAGACACAGGGGCGGTGTGTGATCTGTGATGAAGTTCCCCTTCATCATTGACAAAGAAAGAGGTGTAGGCGATGGTAGAATGCCTTGAGCACTTTGTAATGACCTGACTCATTTACAGAATTGCACGCATGTATGTCATGCCTGTAGTTGGGTTCATCACAAGTCCAGTCCCAAGTCAAAGGGTGAGCAATGATGAAGGAATGTTTTTGTCTCACTTCATTTGAATAGCTTGTAACTTGGCTTGAGTGTAATGGACTTGCAGAAACTCGCATGGACTTGTGACCGACTTGACCACAGCCCTTGTGTATACATATACACACAGTCACCTGTGCTTTTAATGTGTCAAATCGAGAAAGGCAATTGTTCAGATCAATACCCAGGTGTTTTCAATCAAAAATTCCAATTTACCTTTTAAAAAATATGGCCCACCTGTTTGGCATTTTGTAAAATACTAAGCTCTTTTTGAGGGCAAAGTTAAAAGACAGTTCTGCCAGTTGTAAAAAGTCATTTGGATGGCCCCGTTTCATCTTTTGCCAGGGGAATGTGGAGTGTCTTTTATCCATTCTAATGCAAAGATAGTGGGAGGAAGTCGGGTGGAAGACCATGTCTCCAACATTGCCGTGCGAGATGTGTACGATCTCGGACTGTACTCACAGCAGCCAGCGAATTACAATGTGCCAACACTACAAGAGGTAGGTACCTAGATGATCTAACTTTAACCCTGGCAGATCCCTTCAAACTCCACCAAGGGGTCTGGGAAGATTTTGTAGGATTTAGGAAGGTAGAGTCCAGCCTCTTTTACTTTACTTGATGTCGCTTGCAAGTTGAAGTGCAAAACTTTTTGTTACACTGCGGCAAATTTTAAAGGATTCCTGTGCTAAAATGTGCATAGCCATCTTCCATTTCAGGTGTTTGGAAAGTTCTCTGAAGATGAGTAAAGCAGAGTGCAGACCATTGAATTCTTTCGGAAAACCACAGAGACTTTACAGAGATATATGTCAGTGTTGCAAAACTTCTCAAATCAACTTTGTCCATTTTTGCTCTAATTTAGGTCACTTGGAACTTTCCTCCACATGGGTTCACAAGATATTTTGGCAGGTTTCAAATGTCTTTTCTTTCCTTTCCAGTCTATGTCCAACAGCAGCTCAAGCCAAGAGAAGGATTCTGTTCAATCACAGAAGCCGTTACCTGCATCACTGCTCGCCCAATCACAGCAGGCGTCTCATAGAATCAATGGGACAACTGTCTTGTTTGGTCAAACACCAAGAGGCATAAAAAGGTATGGCACCAATTATGTCCAACATTCCAAGTCCCCATTTTGAAGCAAGACTTCAAAAGACTGTGAAGGATTTTTTGTTATCCTTTGCAAACTTTTACAAAGTAACATTAAAAAAAAAGTATCTTGTTCTTCAGGTACAGAAGTTTAATAGACCCTTTTCGCGGGGAACCCAATTTCAGGCAGATTCCCCAACGTAGCGTATTCATTTGAAAACGTTAAATTTAAAGAACCAGACTCTTCTACGATTTCACTCCAACCCCCCAAAATCATGGGATACTATCCCATTAGGGGTTTCAAATGTATGCAATATGTTCAGGAATATGGCTGAAATTGGTTACCTCGTGAATACAATCTATTGAATGGGCCTTCCCATTACAAAGTCTTGTAAAAGTTCAACCATAGTGGATAATTAGGTTGAAGGTTGACATGGGCCCCATTTGCCATTCACATAACATTATTAGTCCTTCTTGTTAATTATTTGGCTCAATTATATTTTTGTCTCTTTCTTCAGACACCATTTTGAAGCCATGGCGAAGACCATGAAGCACTCATCTGTGAGAGATTTTGCCAAACATATCTTATCCTTACCACAAGAGCAGTATGCCAACTTGCTGCAGGAGTACTACACAGCCAGGCATCCACAGTTGGAGGTGGCAAAGTTTTACCAACCTGCAGAGCCCCCGGAAGCAGGAGACATACTCCAGGATGGGCCAGCCAAGGCACAATCGACAGGAAAGTCCAAACCAGGACGGGGGAAGTCATCTGGCAGGGCATATGGCACCAGGGCTAGGCATCCGGGTGGGGTTGGCCATTTTGAAAGTCTGAGTGAGGACAGCGAATTTGATGACATAGGAACAAGGACAGATGGGAACCGAAGGAATGCCAAAAGATGTGGAACTGAGATGCGTGTCCTCAATAATGGCTCTGATGCCAAGGGAGAAACAATTGTCACAAGTACTGGAACAAGCCGGACATTCAGAACTAGTCCTGGTAAACAGGGAAGTCGGACAAGAACACAACCCAAGGAACACCAAAGAAAGAGCCCAAATAGCAAACCACCAAAAGAATCTGTCAGAACTGAGAGATCTCACAAGGGGATGTCTAAACGCATGCATAGTTCCAATGAGGAATGGTTGGGAGATTCGAACTGCTGCAAGAAAGCAGACCAGTCCCGTCAACTTCAGCACCAGACTGAAGATGAGAATGCATGTGTGGGTAAGGACGCCTCATCAGAAAGCCCCAGCACGGAACTGAACTTCAGGTCAGCTCTCTCTCCAAGTCTCAGACATGGAGAAGGCAGCATGACCTTCCTGGACGAAATTTTCCTCGCAGAACCATCCAGGAAACCGCCCAAGCCCCCACCAAAGAAGAAATCACCCAAGAAGAAGAAGAAAACCATTCATTTTGTGAGAGGAGATCTCTCCGACTCCGATGTTGAGATGGAAGATCTGAGCGATCTGACGTCCACTGGTGTCAACTCCTTCAAAACCAAGGCTCCCCAAGCGTCAGAACTCGACAGTGGAACTCTGTGGAGACGCAATGCTAATTTCAACACATTCAGGCAGTCGGCGCTGGAGCAGGCCGTCTTGGAGGCTCAACTGGAAAGCCAGTCAGTCTTCGAGAAGTATGCTGAATCATTTGTGCCAAACGAGCACTTTCTGAAGAGGGGCTTCAATAAAGAGTGCAACATTAATGTGAAGGAGACCGACACATCTCAGGACAATAGTTGCAGTTCTCAACTGCGACCAAGTCCATCACTCGTTCCTGAAACTGTTTCTTTGTAGTCTGGATACCACCCCAAGCACAGATACAGAGTCAGATACTAGACAGTGGCTAATTCATCAAACAAGATTCGCTTCATGAAGTACGACAAGAAGGCCAATTTAATATCAAAATCCGACATTCTCATAGAGGAAATGCATGGGGGTTTTGTTAGGATTTTTATTTTGGTGAGGAGGGTTTAACACTTATCAACAGCAAACTGACAAACCATAAACAGTGGAAAGGGGTCAAGGTGTTTTCAAGAAAATTTGTCCTTTTCCTCCACTTCCCTTCCTTGTTCCTGCTTCTCTGAGCATCTCGTCTTTTTCCCCAATTTTTATTCCTCATTTTTTTTTGGACTGAGGGGGAGTGCTCCCCCCCTCCTGGACCCCCAAGATGCCCACGAGGAAGTGCATGCTGCATCTGTGCTCAGTTGTGAGCCTGGCCAATCAGAAAACAGGGAAGAATTGTAACCCCACCCCAGTGACACTCTCTCAACCAGGAGTACTCTGGCTTGTAGTCTGTAGCGTCTCCTCATTCATGACGTTAGGGTCAAATTTCACACCAAGCTACCTGAACTAGCTGCTTTTTTGAAACCTAAGTCAAATGAAATGCATGTTTTACATTAGATTACTTGGAGCACCCCCCCCCGAAAAAGACAAAAAGTATTGTACTGATCAAATATGTGTTCTGATTTTGGACTTGCCCCCTTAAATGGTTGTTGTGTAAGCTACATCATGCATGTGTCTTTAGCACACACTGGCCTCCACTGAATCCGCTGTTTTAGAACATTTTTTCATTTCAAAATTCAGATGGTCCCTATTTGCCCACTCACAAAATGCTGCATTAAAATAGCAGCAGTCTGATCAACTTCATATCTGCATGTTATCATGTTTGATCTTTTGTGTGATGTCTTTGCTGTTAGTTGCAAAATAATCCAGCAGAGGTAATCTTGTTTTAACGATTTTAACATATATTTTATACATGTAAAAAGTTTGTATTTGTATATTTTATGTCCACTTGCTTAAAGGGGACTATTGTAATGCAACTGTTTTCAAGTGGAACTCAAGCATGCCGCAAATGAAAATAAGAGAATAAAGATCTCTGCATTCAAAGCAGCCGAGTCGTTGTTTAGCATGGATTGATGAAATTACTTTGTGCAACTCTTAATGCATTCCACATTAATTCAAAATTCAATGGGCCTAAAGCATTTAGTATTAAGTGACTTCAAATTATACTTTGCTGCAGTTTTCAAGAAAATAAGGCACATTGCAGAATTCCCAAGATCGGGTGTCTACAAATCTAACCCCCTCCCCTTCAACCTAGACCCTAAAATGCTTGCTGGAGAATAATTCCATCAGAACTATTCTACAGAAAACCTCCCAAGCTATAAATCTCCAGTTCTCTCTCAGCATGATCGCGAGAGATTGTTGGGAATAGCCTTTTTTAGCTCTAGGCCTATGGGAAGAGAATGCTCCAGTTTCCGCGCCTTGTTTTTGTCCATCTCCATGCCCCCCTCCATGCCCCCCCCATGCCATGGTTCTCGTCACTGCTACGTTTGGCTTCCTAATGTGTTACTTAGTTTATAAAAAATGTGTTTTGATTTTTCTTTCATTGCTATAGCGGTGGCCTCAGGGCAGCTCTCGGCAAAATTAAGAATCCAAATGGGATTGAATCTTGAAATCAAAGGTAGCGCCGCGTAACTTAAAATACGTGTTTAATGCATGCTGATCCTATCCAAGTTTCACGGAAAACGTTCCGTGTGCTTAGCGCCATCTATAGTTCTGGTCATGACTCTCAGTATGGGCTTTGTGGGGCGTGATATTTGATTGGTTCAACTGGATTAAAATTTTATCATTTTATCATTCATTTTACCATTTAATTAAACATATTTGCAATTTAACACTTCAAAGCTAAATTAATTCTGTACGTCAATATTTCAATTTGGATATTATGGGGTGTAAATATCAATTTACCTTCGATATTGAGGAAATCAAACGATTGTTTGACCAATCAGATTCCTTATCTTTAATGAGTTGGTACGGTGAAGCGGTGCAAAATGTCATAGCAACAGAGTGACATTTTGCGGTGTGCTTAATACCAAATCTAAAGTTAGAGAACTGAGTTACAGTTTAATGTGATCAACTACATTGTCATGATAATTCTTTCTCTGACTTTTTGGTAGTGAAAGTTAGCTGTAAATCATGTCAACTGGAAAAGCAAAACCAGGGTAAGCGTAAAAAGGGTAAAGCGTTAATTGGTCCGCACTGCCATGACTGCCATGACAGCAGTGTACAGCACTGTATATGTGTCCCCGTCAGCAGACATGGTTGATAGCGAATTCGCGGACAGAACATGCAGTCATCATCATGACCCATGACATGGAATATTCGTTAGGCCTGCGCATATCGTAAATATCAATAGGCCCTTGGCCTAATGGAGAAAGGCTAATTTTTTTGCTACTGCCGGCCCCACTCCTTCTCTCTCCCGTTGAAAACTGTCAGAGGGATTCTATTTTAATTTCAATCTAGGCCTTGATCATGTAGGCCTATCGATAAGACGATAGGGTAAGAAATCCTAAATTAAAAATAGGCCTGGGCGTGCTAGGCCTAAAGTTGTTAGGCCTAGGGCTAATCAGAAAAAAAAGTGGAAAGAAATTTCAACAATTAGGGGGCGTAACTTTAAAGTCAAAAAATGGGGCTGACAATGAAAGTTTATCCTTCTTTTTAAACTCACAGGTAGGGCCCCCAGTTGCTGAACTCCTTTCCTTGTTTAAAACCCCACTAAAAATAACATCTGCCCCGTTCAAACAATTTTGTGTTTATGAATGACACTTGAATTGCGATGGTCCAATACAGAATTCATCTGGAAAGAGTTCCATATACATTTATATGGACGTCACTTGACACCATGTACACAAACCCTTTAGGACTGGTCTGGAAAATTCGAAGTTTTTAAGAAGTAAACACTTTTTCCCTTCTAAATTGAACTTTTCTCGACATGTTTTTGCTTTCTCATTTTAATAGGTCACTGTAGGGAATAATTACTAATCATCCCTAAATATCCCTAAATCGATATGGAAGAGAATGTAAAGGGCCTATACTCCTCCGTCAATACAGAGGAATATAAGAAGGTCTGTGTTGACGGGTCTACCCCCCAATGTTTTATTGTTCAGAGCACTTTGCCCTCTGACATGCAAAGGCTTAGGCCCTAGTTACGCATTTCATTTGTGTATGTGTTAATGCAAAGATCTACATGTACTTCCTTTAATATCTCTAGAAATGTGAGAGCTGGCCCAAAGTTGACTACAGGTAGGCCTAGGCCTATCAAATCATTAACAGTGTTTATAATTACAAGCATGAAATCAGTTCACCAGCTTTGAGGGCAAGGCCATTCTTAAATGATTGTATTGTTGACATGGATAGTGTAACAAAAGTTTTAAGCTTTTAAAACATTTTAAAGTTTTAAACCTTTTGAAAAGGCCAGTTTTAAACATATAAACTTAAATTGTAGCATTTTGGTTTTTACATGCCATTTCTTGTACGTGTTCTGTACGTGTAGTTTTGTATTGTTGTGGTTTTTTTTACTTCCATGCATTTGTCTTTTTATGCGTGTATGAACTCTGTGTTCTGTTTACACCTGCTTGTCTGCGCCTGAACCAATGTGCGAGCATATTCCTGTGGAGGGTTTTGCACAGTACAGGAAGATGGTGATGATGATACATGTCTATCTGCTGCCAAAAAAGTTTGACCTGCCTGATATTTTTCTCTTTTCCAGCTCTTTGGAAAGGATTTCAAATACTTGTTCTTGTGTTCCCCGACTTTGGTCACCTTAAGTTATACCCAATATTGGAATGTGACTGTGTTGAAATGAGAAACCTTACCACAAAAGTTTTGTAGTTAAATGGCATACTTAACAAAAATGACTTTTTTGGACTTTTTTACTTTAAAATCTGATAACAAGAATGAAGTAAAAAGTTTCATACATCTCAATCTCACTTGGGAACAACCATCAGAACTCTTGAAAAATTAATTTAGTGCCTTTTACTAAGCATTAAAATTTGATACGGGCAAGAAATAAAATCTTCCACATCATGGCAGTCATTTGCTTTTCATCTTCTGTCAGCTTGGGTTCAAGAATCTGACTGAAATCACGCACAAAGGGTCACCAGCTTGAGGCTGGTTTAAATAGGGGAGAATACAGTATTCGTCTGAGATCAGTGGTGCTGTGGTGTAAATTTGCAGTGATAGGAACCCTAACCCTTCAAATGTGACCTGTCCTTATGATTGAATGCATTTACCCCCATTTGCTCTCCAATTCAAGTAGACAGATGGCGCATTAAAGTACATGTTTGTTTTATTTACACATCTTTAATTTGTTTTGAAGTTTCACGTCACTTATCTAGCCCCAGTTCTTTTTGAAATCTTGTAGTACAAACAAAAATCCCGGGACTGTGATATTTTGTTTGTAATGTGAAACTCCCGCTGTGTTTGATCTAGTCACGGTTGTCCAAGGTCCCCTTTGTGGCGGCAGATGCATATGCAAATAGTCGGGACAGTCTGTCAACTTTGGTGTAATTTCCTTGGCCAGGAAGAAAAATAGGTCAAACTGAGTGTGTTTTCTTTTTGGTGCATATGCGATATGTACAGCAATGTAGGTTAATGGATTCTGCTATCATATCAGAATAAGCCAGGTGTTTGGACGGTTGTGTAGCCAAACCTTTCTGGAGGAGTTCTTTGTATAGTTGTGGCCAGTGGGCCTATATGTAATTTGATCAGTCCTCTGTTGCAAGGCACCCATGAACAAACATTAAAATACTCACCATAGTGGGCATACACAATATAGTAATCGAGTAGATTTTGCCAGGAATTTGTCTAATATCTTGTCATAGTTTTGTCGTAGAGTTTTTGAGAACCTCTGTTGGTAAGTACAGTATAGCCCTGCATTGCCTGTACTTGTCACAAGTTGATATCAACTTCATGCTTGGGTGTGTCCCAAACTTTGGCTTCATTTCCAGGTGCGGCTGCAGGCTTCCATTCATCAGCAACTGGCAAGTGATGATAAATGGGCCAGTGATAAGTCAGTTCATAAACATAAGTACTGTATGTAGGATTTATACCATGCAAAAATGTACACCAGACATTAAGTCTGAAACAGGATGTATGGTTTTTTGCTCCAGGACAGATAATTTGGTCATTTTTTTAATGATCTTTTTACTCCCAGCGTACTGAAGCTGCCTGGTCCACTCCCTGCTGCGGCCAACCGCAGCAAGCTAACCAGCCAGGCCAGCCAGAGCCGGCTGATCAACCCTGCCAGCAAGGACCGCAGCTTGGCGGTGGGTGGGGCCTCCCGCACCACGCTGACCTCCTCCAGCCGCAAAAGCCAGCTGGCCCTGGACAGCAAGACCGAGCAGCGTCTCGGAGGGAAGATCAACGCCATGATTCAGGTGAGGCAGGACCGACAGGGTAAATGTATCACATGTGTACATGTAGGTGTCAGATTTCACCCAGGATCACTACACCAATTTGATGCTGATCCTCTGCGGCCTCATGTGACCATGCAAGTCCATTGCCCTTTCCTGGGGAAGTTAGTGTTATCCTGCCAATCCATCTCAGAAGTTAAAAGGTATAAAAATTGACCTTTTTAATAGCAACATGCACAACCAATTTTGATATTATTTCCTTATAAAAGTATTTTGCATTTGCATTATTTCTAATTAATCAGGGTTAATCAGTATTCTTCATGAACCCTAACAGTCTCAAATCCTCCAATTTCAATACGATTCTTACATACACCCTTGGGGATAAGGGTTAATAAATGTTTTTCATTGATTTTCTAATTAACCTCCCATAAAAGCAATGTTTGGAACCCTTGTAGACCTAAGTTGTAATGACATCATGTTTTGTTAAACGGTAAACGTTTTGTTTATTTTCTATCAATTCCTTAACGATCAACCAATATAAATCAGGAAGGTACATATGATGGTCATTTATTCTTTTGAATAAGCTTATTCTTGATTTGAATTTTCACTCGTGACCCATTTCAGCACTCTTTTCAATTCTCTGTTTTTCTTGTGCATCAGGTTTTTGACGAGGGAGGCAATGATGTCACCCCCCAGCCTCTGCTCATCGTCGACCCCAACACCGTCAAACACAACCAGAGTAAAATCTTCGGCAGTGGTGGAGACTCCAGCGGTGGCACGGTAAGCTTGTGGGCCCCTCACAGAGGTCTTTCAGCTAGGCTGAACCTGGGTAGATCATAGGACCACACGGAGCAGTCGCTGATTGATGTTTTCAGGATCAAGCCGGGCATAAGCTGTGCCCATTCAAACAAACCTGATGTAGAATTTTTCTGACCAGTGCACAGGGGCAGTAATGTTGGAATGATTTACATCTGTTCATGCTGAAAAAAGTTTACACCTGCATGGGTACAAATTTAACCCCTTGAAGTCGGGACTTTTTTTCTGAAAGCCAACTCCGAGAATTCTAGCCTCGCTTGACCACAAAGGCCACCTGCCAAATTCTCGGTTTGTGGCCCTGTGTGCTCTGTACATTTTTATTTACACAGTGAAAAGGCTCATTGTTCAGTGGTATGCGGCTCTACTCACGCTTCCACATTCCCGTTGCCTCTTTTCAAAGTGGGGACTATTGCGAAGCTGGTGATTATGATGCAAAATCGGCCTTTTCATTACTTGGCAACACACAAAGGCCAATTACCATATATACAAGAGCCAGGGTATGCCTTCTTTCACTGTGTTCGCTCGAGCGTGGGCCGAGAATAACAGCTGAAAAGTGGGCTGCGGGATCTCAATTTTTACAGCGGCTTTTACCGCTTCCCGGTGAGAAGGGGTTAAAGTTCATCTGTCAACATGTATACCTTGATTACTATCTTGACCTGATTCAACCTATGTCAATTCTTGTGTTTACTCTTTAAACAAGTTGTGCCCATGTCACTTCAACAAATGAAGTTTTAAAAACCAACTGACTCATTGCATCTTCTGTTTTACCAATCTCATCATCTTTATCAAACCTGTCAGTCCATTCCTCACAGTGTTTTAACAAAGTACTCTCTGCTCTAATTTCATGCATCTGACCTCCTTAGTTTCTGCATGATTAAATCCCTTCAGAGAGTCTATTTATTTATACAGGGGTTAAGTTGAAGGAGTAATATAAACCCTTGAGAGCAAGTCAAGACACAATTTCATTTGTATCCTTTGGAGAAAGAAAAGAATTTCAATGAGTATTTGTACAAGTACCGCATTGCACCCTAGTACATGTACGTCAGCTCTTGTAGCTGAAATGGCATTTTTCCTGTGACCACCGGCCGGTAATGTTGTCTTGAACTGTTTGAGTTTGTTGTTTGTAGCCCACAGACCTGATGTCTCAGGCATCAATCTACCAGACTGGCAACACCAGCTTTGCTGGGCCATTCACAAGGTATGCTTCATATTTCAAAGTAACACCTAGGAGCATGGTATCATGTACATCATGATATGAAAGAAAAGGGTAGCCTTTGTGAATGTATTATTTGGAAATGTTTTCAAGACTATTGGCCCTGTCAGAACTGTGACCCCCATTTGATATTTCAATATTGGCCCTATAAGCGTACTTGTGCCTGTCACAGTGAATTTTGACTCTTCAACTGCATTTGACCAAAGATCAGTTTGGTACCAAAGCCCTTTTTTTTTATGTCTGTGGTGACCGTGGCAACTGGTTGAAATGAAATTTCTCTGGGCTGTTTTTCTGGTGTTTGTAGATCGGTGTTTGGAACCAGTATGACCCAGTCCAGTCGATCGGCCGAGTCCTTCACGGATGAATTTGCTGAACCTGCCGCCGCCACCGATATCACCACTGGTCTGGGAGGTATGCTGATTGCCCAGTGTGGCCAGTTTCAAGAGTTATTCAAAGTTTAGAGGGTAGCTGCAATCAGCTTTCCTGATGATGCCAGTTGAACAGCTGAATTCAATTTGAATTCTTCTCTCTATAGATTTACGTTTGTTTTTTTGGGCAATCATGTCTCCTTCAATTGCATTTTCTAGCAGCGAGCTGTTGCACTTTTATTCTAGGAAACCTGTCAGAATGTTATCTAATTTATCTGGATTTAGAGTGATTTCTGCATTCAACAAAACCTGACATTTTACATGCTACTTTTCGCCAGAGGTTGTAAACATTCACTGGAATAATGCTAGACACACAATTCAAGTTTGCCCACGACTTGTTATTCTAAGAAGGTGTCCAAACGTCATGAATTATTCAGGAGGATCATTACATTAACAAAGGCACAGGACTGCCTCATTAACTTGTCCATGCGTGGATGAGTAGCACTGTGAAGTTCGGAACTAGCTTGGCCCATAGCAATGGCCAGATGTTTGTGAAAGTTTGCGGACAGTTGGCGGATTCATTTTTAAGGCCAGGCCTTAAATGAAAGAAGAGACTTACAGAAAAGTCTCAGGAACTCCGGACATGAGAAAGAGGCAATTACATCCACGAGCTTACTCAGTAAACATGAAATTGTTCAGAATTGTTTACCTAATTCCAAAAGGTGATATCCTTGTTTTCCAATAACCTGACCTAGTAATTTACTTATTTTAAGACATTTTTTATACATGGAACCATGTGAGAGTAGGTTACAGTTTTAAATTTTAAATGTATTGTTATCGCACCAACAAATGGTCACAGATTGATATGGCTCATTGAATAGAGTGGGTATTTTTTCAACCCTCGTAGATGTCCAAACGGAGAGGCAGATCGAGAAGGAAGTCCTGACCGAGGAGGACTTGGACAAGGTGGTGACAGTCCAGCTGACCGAGACGGACACCATCTGGATGCTGGACCTTCCGGCTATCTGTCTGTCGGCGGAGAGTGACGAGGCAGTCAAGGTCAAGGAACGCAACGAGAAATACAAAGAGGTGAACTGACTGAGACATTACAGCCTTGCCCTAATCTTGTGCCAGAGCTACATGTACATATAGTTCTCTGTTTGCAAATGCACAGGAACCATATGCCTGTTTTGGCCACAGCGTGGCACTCCATAAGCTGATGTCAAATGAGAATTGTAATTAGAGGCATGAAATTGAAACTTCATCGAAATTGATGTAAAATGCATTGTGGATGAACAGTCAAGTTGGTCACCATTTGCCATCCAACCTGACAAGGACTCAGAAGTCATCCAAGCTCCTTTTGAGTTACAGGCCTTTTGGACACAGTGGAAGTGTCAAATTTTGAGGAACGATTCTTTATTTGACTACGGTAAAACCCTGTCAGTTACAAACTGTCCTCCTCGGGGGCCCTTGGGGAGAAGACGATGAAGAAAGGTTCAGTTTTAGAGGTTGGAGGAAAATCGTAATCCAGGGGGATCTTACAGAATCAGGTAGGGACTAAAAACCCAATCCACATCAGCCTGGATGGGATTTGAACCCCAGGTAAACTGAGGTTGAAGACGCGGACTGTGCAACCATCCCAACCAGACTAACTGTGATAAGCCATGGATGATAGCTTTGGTTTCAGGCCTTGTTAGGAGAGAGTTTTTTAAGTTGGTGTTTGGATCAACTGACCTTCTAGATTCAGATCTGGAAAGAGTTAATTTTTTTTTAAAAATTTTGAGAAGTCTTAAATCCGCCAACCAACAATTTACTGATATTAATGTAAAAGAACATTATTTTTTGCTCGGCTGTCTGACTGACAGCAAAGTCCCCGATTTCAATTTTGTAAGCTTTAGTCCTCAGCAGCCGGTGCTATTTGTAAAGCATTTGTTTTTCTTGTGACCATAGAAAATACTTTTATTTCGGGGTTTTTTTTGGTCCCGTCCTCCTTATAAATTTGTCTTTAAAAAATCTCGCCTTATATTCATTGGGTTATTGGAGGTGAATTTTTCTACACCCCTTGCAAGGTTTGACAAGTTTGCATCATTTCTCTTCCCTTCAGCTGTGCAAGAGTCGGGATGGTAATGACCGATACGCTGAACGCGGCATGCAGACATTCAATGAGCATCCCAAGAATAAGGACGTACAGACAATGAAGATCACTCACAATGTAAGCCATGAGATTTGTGCTTTTGTAATGCATGGGTTAGTGTGGGCTTTTTCCCAGCGGGTTGTATGAAGAGCTATGTTTATCTTTGAAATAAACACTGAGTCACTTGAGGTATTTGTGTTGAAAGTTTGTCATCACAGTAGCTGTTCCGCTCATTTTTTTTTCGGAATTAATATTTTTCGTGCTTCCTGCGATCGGGCATCAGGACACCAAATCAGCATTCAGAGTTGATACATCCATATCTACATCACTCAAAATGCTGTTTCCTTTGTGTTTTTCAGGATACCGGCATCACTGCCACAACTTGGGACATGTACGACACATACGAAGAAATTCAAGCCGAAATAAGGAAAGGTTTGTTGTTTTTACATATCTTGAGAAAAACATGCAAGTTCAAGTGGAATCCCACGTTGGAGATGCAGCAACTATTTGCCAACGACTGGTTGATGCTTTCTAGCATTCAGGAGGTTTTGTGGGAAGGTTATGATACCGGACAGAACCAGCTATTAGTTGGCAAATGGTCATGGATCAACTTGGCACTAGATAGATCTTCATGCAGGCTACTCCCTTATGAATCAACCTGGTATGTTGTGTGTATACTCATGCATCAGTTGAGCCCGGATATTTGGAGTGCAAATTTTTAATCGTGTCGGACATTTTTTTGTCTTAATAAAACAGATGGAAAAAACAAAAGAATGGGCAAAATTTAACTTGTTTATTTAATCTTCAATCGTCAGGAATACCTGATCCAAGCTCCTTTTTTCTCCTTGATTATCCCTGTTTTCCATTTTTCAGCGGAAGAGGAAGACATCATTCCGGAGGAGGTGTCCGAAGATCGTCCGCTCAGCACAGCAGCAAGCACCCTGTCCGTGTCAGAGCAGAAGAAGCGCGCAGCTACAGCTGGACGAGACGGTGGGTGGAAGCTTGTTGCAAGTGTAAGCCTGTCAGCCGTGGTAGTCCACGGTTGATCTGAAAGAAGCCCCCGGAAAAGTTTGGATAGGGCTGAGATTTCTCCTGTTTCTTGGAATGTGAAACCTGTGTCATATCCCAAAAAATGCCTTACTGTTTTCCAGCTCCAGCTCTGGTCCTTATAACTGCCCTGGCAGCATGGCCGCAACACTTTGGTTAAATGTAAAAAGCTCCTTGGACTCCACAAAATGCGATTCCGATGAACACTGAGCCCAGTTGTGCAGGAGAAGCTGAATATGTCTTATTATATGGAAATTGTTGTAGCTTTTCGTACATTTATATGTGGAGTCTGTCCTAAAATCATTAGTTGTGGTCCACAGAAAGTTTAACAAGTTCACCCTATTCCAAGTCTCTAGTCTGCCTAGTTGATCACAAATCTCCATTTGTTTAAATAGCTGACAGCCGGTCCAGTCTAATGGCCAGCTCCATAGCCGAGTCTGATGTTGACTCTGAGGTCAAGAGAGACGCTGGAGGGTCTGGGGAAGTGAGCCTAGTCATTGCTGACACAGCCATCCTACAGGTAACGACAGTTTCATGAGATTTGGAAAGGTAGCGTGACTTATAAAGTGAGAGTTGTGAGACATTCTCCTGAGTTCTCTTATGTCTGGTGCAAACATGCCTGACTTTGGGGGAAACATCAACCAAACCCCTGAAAGGCTGACATTGGCTTTTCAAAGAAAATAATGATTACAATAATAATTTATTCATTTATAAAGTGCAAATCTCATATATACATGTATCAGCACAACAAACGACACCATTACTAAAGATCCTTGCACTTACACAGTAAGAGAGAAAAGGCAACATCAAATGTTGTCTATTTAGATGCTTCTCCTAAAACTAAGGCCTGCTTCAGGATGAAAGGCTAAAGCTAGAGAAAACCCTTACTCTTACTCAAAATGATATATTATTTGCATTTTTAAAATTTTGTCTTCTCTGTCAAAACTTCAAATCAAACTCGGACAAACCTCTTGTGCAATGACCCTGCACTCTCCTCATTGTCCGACAAAAAGCTAATAGTTGCCGTGGCTTGAGGTCTTGTGGATTTTAACAAAGAAATAGATGACTGCTTGGTCTTCTTCATCTGGGCTCGTTGTTCAAATGCATTGTACAATGAAGACATTAAACGTGGTCGAGCCAATGGCATACAAGGGTGTCTTGGGTAGCCACCAAACAACCCACATCCACCCACATCTGTAAAGAGGAGACAAGAAGAAGCAGTTACAGTTTTAGAGGTTGGACAAAAAACCCAGAGAATAAATTTCTGTGTTGAACCCATGGAATATTAAGGTAGGGACTGAAAACCCAGTTCACACGTGGACTGAACCGGGACCCAAACTCAGGCCACACGGGTGGAAGGCAAGGAAAGAATTACTTTGCCAACCTGACTGCTTGATGTGATATGAATAAAAAAATCACTGATACTCAATAAACAAAATATGTGAAGGGGTGTGCCAGATGTCTCCAAATGACCCGTGATTCGATCTTTACTCCAGTCGGAAGCCTTGAAGAAAGACCTGTTTGTGATGGAGAGAGTGGTCACCCTCAACAACTTCCAGCCTAAGCAAGCGTCATATAGAGGGCTGCCCATTCTGCCTGGTGAGTTTGAAACCTCTGAAAGGTCTCGTACCTCTTGTATCTGTTCATTGTTGTCCCCAGTCCTGCTGCTCCAGGCTACCCCACAACAGACATAAATGACGTCACTTCTCTCAGATTAAGACAATTAAGATTTGTCCTGATTCTCATGATTGGAAACTGTGACCAGGCCGTGACGCCGGGTCGCCTGTAATAGAGATATTATAGAATTTACTTGGATAAGTTTAACTTCAGAAAGAATTTCTTGCCAGGTCATTTACAGGTACATGTATTTGGTATTTGGTTCAAGCCTTTTCTGTTATATGGAAATGTTTCCCTTTGTGTTTTACTCTGCATCAATAATTGTGTATTTTTACTTCCACTGGGGCGGTGAATCAATTTAATTACAGTGTCTATTTTTCTGTCTCATCCCTTGTAGATATTGACCGCATTGTTGAAGAAGACCCTGCGGAAGGCAGCTCAACCTCCGGTGCCGTCAACATCGCCCAGCTTGGACCAAACCTGGACCGGCTCTGGGCTTACAACTGCAGTTTGACCAAAGGCCGTAATGTCAGCTCCATGTCCTGGAACAAGCTCAACAAGGTCCGCTTTGGTCCTTTGACCTCTGGCACATTGCACTCAACAGTTTGATCTTTGTTTACCCTTAGTTTACCCATGGGAGAGACACGGAAAAGTTGGGCTTGACCATGGCAATGATCTCAACAGCTGCGATCGTGTTCATTTTGACAGAATTACTAGGCATGATAAGTGGACGAGGCACAGTATTCGAAGTTTTACAATGCTGAATGGAAAACTGTAAAAAAAAATCTGTTAGCTTCACAAGTCCAAAGTTGAGATCACAAAATGAAGGCATAACAAGGCAAATAAAGCAGAAAGAGTTTTTGTGTGTCTTCAACGTACATTTTTCTTTCTTCAACCCTCCCCCCCCCAAAAAAACGACCTGTAAAGCCAACAACGTGTACATCTGCATTGGAGAATAAGATTGTAAAGCATGTAGTATTGCAGATATGCCATCTCACAGTTGACATTGCTTGATTTGTATTGCGCCCTCACACAACAATGAATTGTCAGAGGGAGTCTTTTGTGATTCTCACAAGTAACAGAAAAAGGAGACTGTAGTTTTATATTAAAAATGAAGTGGTTTGTTACGGATAATTTTTGTAACTAGGCATGCATGTTGTTTCCACCTTCAGCTTTTAGTGTTGTCTTTCTCCTCAGGATCTTCTAGCTGTTGGCTATGGTCAGTTTGGCTTCACCGAGCAGAAGGGAGGTCTGGCCTGCTGCTGGTCACTGAAAAACCCAGAGGTTGGTGGAAAATGTCCGCCAAATGTGCTTTATTGAAAATAAACCTTGGTAGTTGATGACAGAAAGAAACAGTCACTAGGCTGCTTTTTTCTATGGTGCACATCATTAACCACTCCCTGCCGGGCGACCCTTTTTCGAGTACATAGGCTTTATATGCAGAGCCCGGGAGCCCGGAACTGGGACGAAAGAGTTCTGCCTTACGACAAAAGACCGTGCTCAGCACAAAAGACTTAGCTGCTGGGCGTTACCGACATTTTTTCCCTCTCAATAGTGGAGATAATCCAGCCTTGTTTTGAAACAGTATACCATGGTTTGAGGCATTTCGAGCGAGCAGATTACCACCAGGGACAAAAGCTCTCCACCGCTGCAGCGATGAGCCACATAGCACTGCTGTACGCTAATCTGGCCCCTATTGAAAAGAGGTCAGCAGTGCACTGTGCCGGTTTCAGGAGCAAAAGAATCTTTCGCAACACTGCACAATCTGGGCCCTTTTTCCAAGGCTGCAGGCCTGGCTGAAATATTCAGGAGTCAATGAATTTTACCTGTCAGCTTTAGAATGGTGCCCAAAGAGTCCTTCATTTTGGTATAAACGGCCATTAAATGAAATGGTGAATTTTTGAAGAATTTTGAAAACAGAAAATCTTGAAAATGAGCCGGCATCTTGTCCTGCTCAAGAAAAATCCACCCAGCAGCAAGTGGTTAGGGACCTACCATACAGGCCCCGATTCAAGTTAATCAGCCCTGTTTGATCCTTTAAATATTCTGATGGCACAAGCTACCATCGCAATCATTGTTAGCAGGTAATTATGTTTCACAAAGACTCTTTGAAGAAGTTTTAAAAGAAATTCTTAATACATTACATCACCTTAATCAACCCCATAGATGCTCTACTAGCAATAACAGACCAATTGCCAACAAAAAGAAGAAAAAAGACCAATTGCGACATTAGCTATACATATTCTTCATTAACATTCAGTGTTAAATTTACGAACGTTTTGTCAGATCTTGGTCCCAAAGTCATCCTCTATACTTGAAATGTATCCGTGTATTCTTTCATGGTGTGTTCCTTCATGTTGTCAGGCAGGTCATTGTCATGGATTATGAAGTTACTACTCGCAATCTTCAACTACATTCAGGGCAATTACCATGTACAATTTGGCTGTGTTTTCTCCATTCAGTTTCCTGAGAGAGTCTTTCACTGTGAGTCTGGAGTGACCGCCATGGACTTCTCGGCAACCAATCCAAATCTCCTCGCGGTATGGCCGTCTTTTTCAGTTACTGTGTGGTGTCTGTTCCCTTGCCCATGTTACATGGGAGTATCCCTGCGAAGTATCAGTGTCGCCCTGTGTTTATCGCGAGGCATTCTCAGAGCTAGATGTAAAAAAAAAATGGTTGGATCCACTTTGTAAGTTCTGGCTTTACTAATGAAGTTGGGCCAGCATTGTGGCCCAGTGTGTAAAACTTTAAATAATTCCTGCAGTCTAAGGCCGTGTCCGAAACGGGCTTCCAGAGCTAGGTCTATTGTCTACGTGTCTCCACGTACTTTCAATGGAGTGAAGACCTAGACCTAGCTCTAGACAACAGATTCGAATGCAGTCTAAGAAAAACTTACTTCATGAGTTGTTGGAGTCAGAGCAAGCGACTCGTATCAAATTGTAATTCTCAATCAAGGCGTACTTAAAAGAAGAGGTGAAGTAATTCTCTAAGGCTTTAACTTGATATGGACTTGAAACAGATGCAGTAACTCAGCCGAGGGATTTAGTTGTAAAAAAAAAAAGATGTAAGGTCCAGTATGTTTTTATGAAGTAGTTTTTTGTCCTGTTTCTGCAGATTGGTATGTATAGTGGCATGGTCGCCATCTATAATGTGAGAGGAAATAACAACACGCCAGTGCTGGATAGCTAGTAAGTATGCAACAAATGCATTATTTAGTCAAGTTTTGATCATAATGCCTCAATTCATTGAGTATTTGAAGCAGTGTTGCCTCATAAGACAGACTTTATGGTGTGATTTTGTGTCGCTTCAGTGAGAGCCATGGTAAGCACTCAGCCCCCGTCTGGCAGTTGAAGTGGATCGACAAGGAGAAGGGGGCATCGCCAGAAGAAAGAGGGGAGTTGCTTATATCCATCTCCACGGACGGCCGGGTCACACAGTGGCAGATCAGAAAGGTGGGAATCTAATCAGTAGACCTACTTAAACATTGGAGCTGCTACTAGAATCTTCTTAACACAGACCGTCCCCGTTTTGGGAGGTCACACTGCAAAAACATTGCAGTGTTTAGGTGGGACCTATAATGGTGGAATTTGCTGTTAATGTGAGGGACTCCTGATCAGGTGAGAACTGTTTCTGTGGTGCACTCTGTCATATGAAAAAAAATGGACTTAGCACAAATTCAGTGTGTTATTGGTTGTACTTCCCTGCAGCAAGACTTCAAAAAGTGCAACTTTATAAACTCCAGTAATGCTCAGAGACACTCAGATCAACCCATTTGCCAGCCTAGAGAGTGTGAGGGTCAAATTGGCCGTGAATGACCTCTGCTGACAGATCAAAGACAAAATGTGACCATTTCACCTTGTAAGAGTATAAGTGGCCACCATACAGCTAACTAGCAACAGAGATTAAGGTTGCACGTATGTTTGCATGTGACTTGACTTTCCTCAAGCCTTGGCGAAGATATATAGAGGTATGCGTGTTACACAGTTTCAAGGCACTGTACAGGATGGTTTGTTGCAATCTGTCTGGGATGTCCTTGCAGGGCTTTGAGTGCGCAGATCTTATGAAGCTCAAGAGGGTAGCCAAGGCTACTAAGAAGCAAAAGGAAGGCAAGGAGACCAAGAGCGAGGGCTTCATCTCACGCCAAGCCTCAGGGATGTGCTTTGACTTCAGCCCAAAAGACCTCAACATGTGAGTGATCAAGACATGATTAAAACGACAGTGGGTACACGCTGTAGAAAAACCAAAGGGCTGTCAAAAGATCTTGGTTCATCAGAATTTTGTTATGTTCCTTAGACTGTCAAATTCCTGAGACGTCAAATGCTTCAGCCCTGACATTGCTGATCAGTCAGAATTCCTGATGTCAGAATCTAAAAAGTGTCAAATTCTTCAGAATTGACATTCCTCAACTGACTGATTCCTCCTATTGTCATATTTCTTGGCCAACAAATTCCTCAGGCTTGTAAATCCTTGAGATTGTCGTATTAGATTGCCATATAGTGTCAAATTTACCTGTCAAATTCGGCAAATGTCACAATCTCCACATAGTCAGTTCTCCACCAACTGTCAAATTTGTCAGACTGTCAGATTCTTCAGAACTGAAGTCAGTTGCATGAGTGTAGCAAGTCCAGATAATTTTTTGAGATGTTTGCTTGCTTTTACTTTGACATCAGATATTTGGCAGGCACAGAGGAAGGTCATATCCACAAGTGTTCTTGCTCCTACAATGAGCAATACCTGGATAGCTTCTTTGGACACACAGTGAGTTTATCCATGAAGACCTTGCTTCTTATTTCTCAGTTTGAATAGAAATTTGAAATCTTTGTTTTACCGATATTATTTGAATTAATTTCTAAAAGTACCTACCTCTTTTAATTGGAAAAAAGGAATTTTCTTGAAAGTTTTAGTTCAAATTTAAATTTTTCCAAATTTCATAGGTTAAAAAGCAAAAACCTGACACTTTGAGTAATGATGATTTGTATCCTCACATGTCAACTGATCATTTGAGTTTACTATTCTGTTCCAGGGACCAGTCTATAGAATTGAATGGTCACCGTTCCTACCAGATGTTTTCATCAGCGCCAGTGCCGACTGGAGCATACGACTCTGGGTACAAGACCGGCAGAAGCCTGTGTTGAACTTCTTCTCCTCAACTGTGAGTACATATAACCAGCTGCTCTGAATTTCAAGAATTTTTCCCCTGTGAAAGATGCCATACAGGAATTGTAGAGTGCTAGTTGGTATTCAGACGACCCATGAGATGCTAAGGACGTGTTTTGAAAATCAACTGGCTAAGACTGTTAAACACAAGCTTATCTGTGGGAAAAGGCTTCAGCCACTAGTTAGTGGCTTTCCATAGTGCAAGGAAAGTGGTGCTAATTATGCACAGCAGATAGACCTGTGTACTGATGATGCCACACCTTGCTTACGTATGTGCTTTCCAGTGGTGTTCAGTGGACCATGTCCACCCCACTGGCTCCTTAGGAACGTGAAAAATGTGTAACGTCATCTGTACGTAGACCTGTTGAGACGTACACAAACCCTTGGCATTTAATACATGCGACAGTTGTACTTTAGGCACATGGTACTTAATTTTTCTTCAGTTATTGACTCTTAATGTTATTTGTCACTATTGGGGATATATATGCACTTAGAATCCATAAAGGAGGTAGTTAATAGAGTTTTGGTTACATGTGAGCTAAACCTTTGTTATGTCACAGTCAGTGACTTTTACATGCCTCACCTGTTGGATTACAGAAAGCTGTCATGGATGTGTCGTGGTCCCCCACATCAGCCACTGTGTTTGGATGTGTTAACGAGGGCGCTGTGGAGATATGGGATCTTGGCACCAACATGTGAGTGTGCTGCGTGCATGATGGTCAAGCAGGTTGAAAGAAACAAACTTAATTGTTCCTAATAATTATCACAAGTTAGTCAAAAGTCTATCACAGGTCAATCACAAGCCAATCACAGGTCAATCACAAGCCAGTCAGAAGCATACAGCTCTCACAGGTCTATCACAATTCACTTTGCAAATTTGAAGTCACGTCCCAAGTATTTGAAGTGACATCAACATTCCTTCACAATTGGTGATTGTTTATGCACATAGGAAGTCTTGACTCCTGAGTTTCCTCCTCCTCTTTATGTAGGTTGGACCCAATCATCGTCAATGTACCAGCGCCAGGGGTCAAACTGTCCTGCCTCAAGTTTGCCCTCAACTCAGACGTGAGCATGCTCTCGTAACTTCTGTGCTGTTATTGTGGCATTACATTGATAAAAAATGATTGCCCCTTTTGCGCTGTGTGCAGCATGTCCATTTGTGACGTGCATGTAAGAATGCTAGTCTCTGCCCACTTTGCCTTTTACAAGTGGAGCAGTAAAAATTGTTACTCAACAAAGATGATCACTTATATTTGAATGAGTAGCTCTTTCATTGATGGTCAGTGCATCAATGACTTAAAGATTTAATCTTGTTCACAGTGCATCCTTGTGGGCGACAGCGATGGCCAGGTGTCAGTATACCAACTTAGGAACATGCCACCAGTGGAAGACAACCAGGTAAAGCATCATCCAGTAAGCAGTCTTGGAAGTCCTGTTCTGTAGAGAACTTTGCAAGATTCAGAAAGGTTCCTAGAGACAATGCCTTGGGAATTGGGGTTGATTTCGCCTTTGTGTAAGGAGACTGACAAAAAGTAACACAGATGATCAACTTTTTTCCTTCGCTCTCTCCACAGAAAGAGAAGTTGGAAGACCTGATCAAACAAACCCTGGACAGCGAACTCCAGTCTAAGAGGTGAGACCAACATGGACTGGAGGGGCCTCTCACATGGTAGCCATCTTGGTCTAGTTCCTTTTGTTTTTGTGGTCAAACATTAGTTTAAGGTGCCAGACCATTTTGGACACTCGTTAAAGGGACATTGGGAAGCGAATGCATCAACGTTCTGATTGTGTGACATTGTGTCAGCTTGCCCTTGCAACCTTAGACAGCTATGGTATTGCCTCAACACAGCTACCTTTTCATCATTCAAGGCCATAAAGCTGGCATGTTTCACACCACCAAAGAGTTAAAGGACAGACTCCTGCGGCAAATTTTCTGGAGGAATGCCTTGTCATAAGATTTCAAGATTCTCGGAATACACAGCGGTGTACAATACCATGACAGTTACAATGCAGGGCTGTCAAGTCTACAGCAGAGGGCATGCGACACACTGCAAGCCCTACTCTCATCATCAGGCTCTAACTAACGTCCTCCTGTGATCTTAGCAATGAACTCTTCCTTCTCTGTTAGCCTAGAAAAACCATTTCTGTTTTGCAATTGAACACTGCTGTGAATACTATCTGGACCCATCTTTTAGCAGCCAGTTGAAATGTGTTTCCACTCTTGAGAATATCAAGACTGATGGTCGACAGATAGGCATCATACCCTAAGTGCCTTGCATCAGCAGAATTGTCAGTCACTATTTGAGTCAGTGTCACCAGCCATGGCAGCCCTGGCAATATTACCATCATTATATATTCCAGTTCCGTCCGTTTGCCATCTTTTTTTACAAAGTTTTTGACACTAAACATGTAAATTCTGTCCATTAGTTATTCATGTGTTAATACGTTGTTGAAGACAATCTGACGGTTTTAATAAAAAGTGCCTCTCTGTGATTTTGAAATGCATACATACATGTCATTTAACATGACATCGAGATTTTTGTAACCCACCATCCAAAACACTGGCAGATGTCAACGTGGCTTCTGGTGAAAGCTTAGCACACTACCAAAAGTCAATATCTGTGACTGTGTTTTAACGTTCTGCACAGAAATCCATTTTCCTGCATTACATGTAAATAATTGTCATAAGCAATACTTGTGATAGTGCTATGAAAAAATAACCACCACCTTGAGCCTGGTTTTGGGATAGTGGATCACATTTGGATGGGTTTTATATAACGATTCTGCTTGTTCATTGTAAATATTGTGTGAATAAAGAATACCTTTATATGACAGCGTAATAGTAACTTTATGCGTTCTCATTGTAAGTGTGAAGAGCGATTACATATAAATATGAAATAGATAAAACCACAGACTACACCGAATCACAGAAGTGACCTCAGAAATTTATCAACAATCTGAATTTCAGAAAATAGCAAATCCACTCGTGCAAACTGTGGACAAATGAAAGAAATCTTTCAAATATTTCTGAACTAAATTATTTTAATCTCACCAAACGAGAACTCCACACAATCATGACTAAAACTTAAATATTCAAGTAAACCATTTCTTTGCAATAGTTTAGATCAAAAATTTGAATTTTTTTTTAATTGGATGTAAAATGTAACTGCTTGAGAACACGGCCTAAATTGAATTCACCCACTTGTTTCTCAAGTGAAAACTATTAAACAATTTGCTGATGAGTCTTGGAACTCATAGTATAGGCCAAAATAATTCTTGCCCGGGTTTGTTTTTTATGACACAACTACATTGTATTTTACATTTTCTACATGTATAATCTCTCAAAATTCAATACAGCTTAAATGTCCATTTGGATCAAAATTAGACTTCTTCATGCATTTATCACAAAGTTTCTTGGGGGGAAAATGCATCCCGTGTTACATTGTACATGTACATAACCAGGTTGTACACAGTTTTGGATGTCACGGATATTTTCAAGGAAACTGCTTTCCTGATGGATTTTTCAACTTGGATGATGAAAACAACAGCTGTCAATGGAGGTGTGAGAACTTGTTACATGTGCATAAGGACACTAAATGGCTTCAAGTAAACAGCACCTAATGCATGCATTCTGTGAAAAGGTACAACCTACTGGTTACAGTGTATTGCAAGTAGCATCCATCTTGTGTCCAGCAACTCCAATTAACCAAAAAGGAAGATGGGACAGCTGAGGTCAACTTTTACATGTATTACATATACCAAGGGTATCTACAAAGCAATAATGCCATCATGTTTTTAAAAAGTCCTTATGAAATCCAAACTGTGTGATATGTTATTCATAAATTGGAAGATTGATCTCTACACAAACATCACGGTCCCCAAATAACTAACATGCAAAAACTGGAGAAAGTAGATGGAAACCAATGATGTTCTAGCTTTCTGCTTTCTCTTCATCACCCTGAAAATTCAAAAACAAAAGAGGGAACATCATACAAAATTCAACTTCCTATGAAATGCGACTTTTGTTTTACTTTATGGAGTTTGGTATTCAGACGTGAATTGTCCTTGTCCAATAAGCCTTTTGTGAGTAACCTTTGAATAAAATCTGGTACACTGAGTTCTTTAAATTCATGGGAACATAACAATTTGAATTCTCCTAAAAACACTGTTGCCATACCTTGTGATTCGGGGCAAGCTTTTGCTTAGTTACATAAGAGACGCCTTGCAACAATACACTATTCCCAATGGATAAGAAGGGCACAAAGGAACCAGTCCATCCAGAGATGCTGGTCGCTATGCAAAAGCTTGCCCTGAATCACGAGGTATAGCAGCAGCGTCTTTAGTCTGGGGAATTAAAATTTTTACGTTTGTGTGCAATCAAATAACTCAGTGCACCAGATTTTATTCAAATTTAACTCGCAAATGGCTTATTTTAGCAACTCAGTGATGCACAACAAATAGTCCCATTCCCTAGAGCCAAATTTCACTTCAAGTCTTTTCAATGTGCGTTCAATGCCTATACATAGTAATTGTGGTATGCCACAAATTGACTTTGGTCAATTTGTGGCTGAAAACTGTCCAATCACTGTCCCAAAATCTGTGCCACTGTTTCCGGCCTTGTTACAAAAAATGATGTGAAAATGAATCTGCAAGCCTTCAACTCTTCCCTATTAATAGTCTGCTGCATTCAACAATACCAGAGCTCTAAGCAAGCTGAACTGAGAACTACGGTAGCCTGGCCATCACACAGACAAAGTATTTTTGGCTCTCTGATGAAATTAACTGCATAAAACAAGTGTTTCTCACTGTTGAATCTCATAAAGTTCAGCACAATCAAGGTATCAAGTGAGGGGGGGGGAACTGTTATGTTGCAGTTTGGACGATTCAACAGCAGAAATATTACATTCACTGAAGCAAGTTTGCAGACAATTGAGGGCAGTAGAATTTTCATATTGTAGCGACATACCAACTTGTTTCATTAACTTTGCTTTCATGTGCATGTATGCAACCAGCCCCCAAATGGTGTCGTTTCACTGCCCTTGAATTCGACCGCCTTCAAATTCAAAGCAGACCCCTCAAATTGACTGATATTAATTACTGCCTGAAAATCTTCTAAAGGAAGCTTGGTAGAATGTCTTGAAGAGAAAAAAAAAACCATGAAGGTGAATTTACTGCCTGAAAACACCGGAAATACAAAAACCCCATTCTTACCGGATAAACTGGTCTCTTGGACGAACAAATCCTCCCTGGGACAGCCTGTGAGAAGAAGAAAAAACAGCTTTAAGTACATTTAAGTTGTATACAAGAGTTTAACCAACACTGCTAGAGCCTCCATTAACTGCAGTTTAATCCTTACTTCTATTTGCACAGCAGTACTTCCAGAAATTAGGGGTCCAAAAGTGTGACATTTTTGTGTCCCTGTTATGTCTGACCTTTGTTATTTGACATGGAAATACCAGAATAGATTTCAGACTATTAATATTTGTTTGGCAGGTAATTTGCATTAAATCATTACTCTTGGATATTATAAAATGTGTTCTGAACTTATAAAATCCCATGTCATAATTTCTGGAATTACCCACAGTCTAATCACTGTTACAAAAGAACACTGTTAGAAAAAAATCCTGTCAAAAATAAAATTTCAAGAATCCCAATTTCTTGAATTCTTAAGGTTTTCCACTGCTCTTATAACAAAACCATGGATGTCACCCTGCAACTTTGTTATAACAAAGAGTTGTTACAACAAGAGTTGATTGTACAAGTTTCGGTCAATGTTTATTTCCTTTGATGAAAATTGGATTGGCCGTGGCCAAGTGCAGGACTGAGTTGACATACTAAATTCAATGGGTTGCGTGCCAGAAAAGCTCAGAAAACGGCAGCTTTGAGGAGAGGAATCACGGTGCGTGCTGCTAGTGGCCTTCACCCTCATGCTCCCACATCTTTCATAATCCATCTGACTGTGTTGATGGATGTTGCATGAGTAGGGAGGGTGCACATGTACATGCACTTGCAGCGGTCAGTACATGTAATGCTTTACATGACTCTTCATAAAGGAAGATGCTTGGCCAGTCTTAGATGTTCGTTTCAGACCGGATCAGGAGAACTGACGCTGATAATGCCTTTAAAAGAGAGGGACATTGATAGCATCCAGTCTCTTGTGTCAGTCTTAAACGTTCATAGAAAGCTGGCTAAGCACAGTTATTCCCATAAATTTGGGTCACAAAGTCCAAACAAGTTGGAAAACAGTTATAAAGTTCTAATTTTTTTCTAACGGTTCAACAGTTTTAACTCAGTTTTAACAAACACCCCTCCAGCCATATTCCATTCTTGTAAACAATTGCCTCATATAAAGATTGGAGAATGCAGGGTGTCTACTTTGTACATTAAGCATTATTGTTCTCTGCCTACTGACACTTACAGCAACGTGATACTTGACGACATAATGCACGACCCATGCGGGTAGGACTATGACAGTAAATATACGTTTCATCTTGAAGATCCCGTAGAATAGCCTGTAACCCTGTAAAATGAAGACAAACAAAAAGGAAACAGTTGGACCAAAAACAGTTTCCAAATATGCAATATCTTTAATGCCACTCCTTTTACATAGCCTCAGTGATGGTCAGTCACTGGTCCTGGACAATGTACACGTATCCACCGAGTGGTATACATCTGGATAAGGGGCAGACTTGATCAGTTGAGCAGTGGAAAACAAATTTTCACAGGGTTTTGATTTGAATAGATACAAGTGTATTGGACAGGTCAGGTGGGTGGGTCAGGTGGGTCCACGAATCGGCAATGCTGATCAATTTCTCACGTTGTAGAGACTGTGTGCTGTGTTTAAGTCAAGGTGTTCACATGTAGTGAGAGCGGATTGGGGTGTCGTAGAGGGCACTGGGAGAAAGGCCACAGTGGGAGACCCAATCCTTGAAGAAATGTAGTGGCTGGAAGATATTCAAATAAAGAGCAACCTCCAAGACACTACTTGTCACTACTCCGCTTGACATGTGGTCATTTGTGTTTACAAAGGGTCGTGACGCTATCGCTATCTCTTTTTTGGAATCGGGCCTCTGAGGTAAATTACCAGACATGCAAATTCCAATCAATTTTCAATCAATTTTTCCCATGAGAGCAGCTGTGAGGTATCTATACCTCTTGAAAATGGTGCAACGGTGGTTTTTAAACTCATCTTTTTGAAAAATCTGAGTTTTACTCACCGATCTTGACCATTTTCGAGAGGGGGGTTGGAATCTTGTTTTTATCGCACAACCAGCCTAACTGTGTGACTGGACTGATACCGCTAGGACGCGCGACATGCACTGCGCTAGCTGTAGCGGTGTAGCTTCACCCTCTGCCTCAGAAAGAGGTCAAATCGACATGCGGAGGTAGCTCACCCACTGGCCTGTAGCCAATGTTGCATGTACACCGTGTGGTGCAAACAAAGTGTATGGTATGGTACAACTGCCCTCAGATAGAAAACGGGAGATTGGTGAGTAAAAATTCAGTGTTTTCAAGAAATGGTCAGTTTTATGATCTTAAAACCACTGTTACCCCATTTTCAAGAGCTCCATGTATACATCATGTACATTGTAGGTACTTCAAGGTTGCTCTCACAGGAAAATTCAACTAAAAAATAGAATTTGCGTAACCAGTAATTTACCTCAGAGGCCGGATTCAAAAAACATATAGCACTGCTATCCTGTGTAAACCAATAGGGCTGCATAGTGCAAGTCACACAGGGTTGTGACTTGTAATTCGAAAAAGTAACAAGACACCAACAAACCAATGCATAACTTCTAATTTTTCTCTGTCTTAAACTCATGTTTTTTTTAGCATTTCTGCAATGGCTATGACTGACCAGACAATTTTCAACCCTTACCCCCAGGGTGTATGAAAAGTCATATTGAAATCGGAGGATTTGGGACTGTTATACATGTAGCTCTTTAAACCAAGATCAAAGTGTTTTCCACTACCCCCTGCTCACTTGACCCACGAAACATTCCAAATGGGCCTAGGCCTACCATCTCAGTACCCTGTGGAATTTACTGGGATTGTGAGGACGCCATTCGTATAACCTTTTAGAACAGCCTGGCATATCATTTGGCTTACTGGACTCAGTATTACAAAATACGTACATGTAGTAGTCTGAGCCTGAAGGACCTAGCCCTACAAATTACTACTTCTGGCTAGGGCACTTCCATTGTTACTCGTACAGAGAACAAGAAAACCGTGTATTCATAGTGCCACAGCACTGTATGGTACATTGTGTTGTCTATTGTATTTTATGGCTTCAAAGAACAACGTCATATCCTCATACAAGCGAGAGCGCTGTATGCTACATTTTACCACTAAGTGGTAATTTTTAGTATCATGTAGGGTTAAAGATTTGGATTTGAAGGATCTGTAGGGTGGATGTTGGGAAAAGAGGGCAGGGTTTTGAGTTTTGAAGGAAATTGTGATGGGAAACTGTGTTTTAACACTTGACACGTGGTGGATTCAAATTTGCAGGGCTGGTTTATCAGTAAGAAACTCACATTTTCTCACAATTAATTCAAATTTCCAATAAATAGGGTCAGCGCAATAAAGAGAGTGCAGTCTTTGGTTTTGGGGGACTGACCAGTTTTACAAGATTAGAATGACAAAAAAAATGGGGGGGTCCTCAAATACACAATCCCCAAATTGATCCATACAGTAATCCATACACGCAAAAGGGATTTCATAGAAGGCGTTTTCGCGGAGTCTCCACTTATTGAATTGACCGTTGTGGGGCCAAGGATACTGAGGGAGTCCAGTAGACTGGCCCCAGTCTGGGGCTAGCCTACATGTAGACTAGGCCTACTTTGAGAACTCAAAGTCACCACTCCATCATACTCCGTGTGAATTTGACTTCAGCCAACACGGTTTACATGGTGTCATAACGCTATGGGGTTTTGGAATCAAGTTCTGTGGTGAAATGGTTCACAGGTGTAAGAAAGCTATTAAATCAAATTTTCCCCAGTAAGTAAACCTGATCAATCTACATGTACACCTCTTAAAAAACGGGATAACGAAGTTTCAGAGCATGAGATGGAGTATTTTTTTGTAATGAGATTTTTGCTCACCAATTTCTCGCTTCCACCCGTTGACTGTCGCTCCGTTCATGCCATTCGTGTTTATCAGCCTGCGCATGCGTTGAGCCCACCAATGACTGCGCTTGCTCTGCATCTTGGTTCGACAATTTTTGGCGGCAGAGGATGACATCTTGTATTGTTTTCATTGTGGGACCGTCCTGGCTGCTGCTGCCGTGACCTTCTTCCCATCGGGCGGGACGCGCGACATGTGCTGTGCTGTGTAGCGGTGACAGACTGCGAGACTTAAAAATCCCCCCATCACCAAAAATGGTCAAACCAAGATGCAGTCTGATAAACATGAATGGCATGAACGGAGCGACAGTCAATGGGTGGGTACTATAGATTAATCAGGTTTTCCCCTGTCAGTGACAGGGGAAAATTTGATTTACAGTGTAATAGCTTTCTTGCACCTATGAACCGTTTCAACACAAAAATTCGATTCCAAAACCCCATAGCGTCACAACACCATGTAAACTGTGTTGGCTCAAAGTCACATGGGGTATGACAGAGCAGGGGGAAGTGACTTTGATTTCTTGAAGTAGCCGAAGCCTAAAAAGTGCAGGCAAAATAGAACATTCTTTGCATGGGGATTGTATACTTGGGCCCCCCCCCCCGAGTTTTTTGTCATTTTAATCTAGCAAAACTAGTAAGCCTCCCCCCCCGGCAACACTTTTCTTATTTCGCAGACCCTATTTTTTTAGGAAATTTCAAATTGTCAATTGTGAGAAAATATGACTTTCTTACTGATAAACCAACCATGTGTTAAAACACTCACAGTTTTCCCTCATAATTTCCCTCAAAACCCTGCCCTCTTTTCACAATATTAATCCTAACCTACACTAGTTAGATGTTGAAGTCAGAAATAGCATTGAAGCCCAAACCCTTTCATTTATGGAAACCAGTAGGTGGGGATAGAGGTATTTTTGGTAAGTCTTTGGAATTTTTGAGAATCGTTTATCTTACAAAATGAACGTGCGTGGAGCGTTAGTATGATGATCCCATCCTAAATCGTAAAAAAGGAATACTAACGCTCCACTCAGTGGAGCAAACTTTATAAATTATAGGCCCCTAGTCATATCTCCGAAGGTGAATCCAAAACTAAAATGTAGCTCTCCCTTCTAGGAACAGGGTCCCAAAATTAATCCCCCTTTCCGTGGCATCTTTAATCTATATATGAAACAACGATTACTCAAATACATTTAACGATAAACATGGACAGCCAACTTTCGCCGTACTGACCGTGGCTTCGTTGAGCGGCCAAAGCAGATTCCAAAACGGTTGCCGTATCGCCCTCCATAACCTGTTCGGTTTAACAGGGTCGGGCCGCGGTTCGTACGACTCTAAAACCTGGTCAGCCAAGAATGTCCTCCGTCGCAACCTCTCCTCTTTGATCCAGTTCTTCAAGACGTGGTCATTTTGGGCCCAGGCCGGAACTTGTGGCTTCGTACCGGCGGGGGGACGGAGATCGATTCGTGACTTCGCCAGTGGTGGACAAGCCGCCATGTTGACTGACTGATACTACCACTATGCTGACGGTAACCGCGCGAGGGCGCTGTAACTTTTTGTATGTTGCCTATTTGTTTTGAGATCGCGTGCACGTAGCTAGTTCTGGTCAAACATCTAGCGACGCGGTGTTGAATTAGGTCGACACGACGCAAATGAAAAATAAAGAAATTTAATTTTGCCGATTTCTTTCACCGGAAAACCTTTAAGTTAACTCACACATGTTAACAAAAAGGCACGAAAAACTTCATTTTCATCGGTTGCTCGAGGTAGCCATGGAGGTACATTGCTCTACACCATGGGAACGAGGCTGGGGGCTTCACGATAGCGCTAGGGAAGAGAAGAGCAAGGGTACTCGGTGCATTATGGCACGTATACAGTGGTGTACAGTACATATATGAATAAGAATAGCAACATGACCCACAATACCGTGCGTGTCCGAAGCCATAACGTAGTTCCTTAGCAAAAATTTGAATAAAGCATTTGCCCTTCCCACATCCAATAGTTTATAGGCTTCTAAACTGAGATATCCAACTGAAATTTACTCATTGAAAACACTTTGAACATAAAGTGTTCTCTCTGAAAGGACACAGTTTTGCTCACGAATATGGAACTTTGCATTATTTTAAACAGCAAAAAGACATCAAAGCACCTTTTGAAAAAGTATGAAAATCAAACAAGGATGATTGAAACACAAAGGTGTATAGGCTGGTAGCAAAAAAATCATTGCGCTTGTACATGGTGCCTTGTGGGGTACCGGAACAATGGAAGGGACCCCATAAAGGCCAGTTTTGATCCTTGTGGGGTACTAAAGTGGTACCCCACAAGAATTTCACGAAGTAGATATTTCAAATTTACTCACTGGCAAAAAGGAGGAATTTTCAAGTGTCATTCATCCGTCGCAAATTGAAGTGTTTCATATAAGGGACACACGGTCAAAATTTCAACTCAGGAAACTGAATTTGGTTGAAATGGCAGTGACTTGGAATTTTTTTCAGTCTTGTGTGGGCGTTTTGTACACGAGAACAAAGGAAATGACCCAACAAGTATACATATGTAAGGATGGGTGGATGAACCCTTAGGACTCATTGCGTTTGTAAGTTGGAAATACATTAATAAGAAAGGAGCCATGCACTCACGGTTCAGTGACAGTATGGTGTTGGTAACAAAACTCATTCGTCTATTATCGATCCAACAGTCAGCTCTGCCAAGCTAATAAGTTGTCATTGTGTATGATGACATCATCTTTAGAGTGATGAGCACTATAGGAGGCTTCTGGACGGGGCGTACTTTTGTTATAATGAGTTACTTTATATCGCATATATTGCTTTATGGGAAAGTATTTTTATGTATTGTCAGTGTAAATGTACTGCTTGAGAAGTTTCTTCTTTTGTTTCTTTTTCTGTCTTTGTTCAACATTTTTCATCATAACTGTTCACGTCTACGTGACGGAGGAAATGTTCTTTTCTTTTATTTTCCCCCATTTTAGACGAATTGTTTCATGATGTTAGAACCAACTCTCCTCAAACTTTTTGGTAGAGTTCGCCTTCCACAATTTCAAAAAATTACCTCTTAAAATTAAGGGAAATATCCCGAAGCCCAAAAGGTGAAACTATGAGGGGGATGTGCCCCCCCCCCCGAAGCCCGTGCCCCCTCCCATTTGAAATCCGTGAAAAATCTCCCCTGAAATGCGGCCACAGCTCATTTTCTTGAGGTGCCCCCTTGAAAAAAATGACCTAGTTACGCCATTGCAAAGCCAATGAAAAACCAAGTTTCCTGGCTTTCTCAAGATACCCGCTTCACTATAAACTGCTCGAACAAACGAATGTGTTCGCACTTTCAGTAAGTGTCACAGACCTCACGGACATAACGGGCAAAATGGTGAAACACTGAGCTTTAATTGCCTGCCCACAAGCGAACAACACACGTGTCTACGTAAGCACCTGCGCATGACGTCTCTTTCGACTCGATATTGGTTGCATTGTCAGGGTGCAACGAAAAATGGAGGCCGCCAATAACAACGCGTGCGAAAACGGCAGCTGACGTACATGTACATTCTTGGTATCGTTTCAATGGCATACTAAGTGCACATTTCTGTAAAACCAAGTGCTACTCTGACGATCAGTGGTGATCTCTGGAGAATGGTATATTTTTACCTTGTTTATGTATGGAAGCCCACAACGCAATGGTTTTCCGAAATAATGCAATATAAAATATATTATACCTGGAAATAATGGGCCTCCGTATCAATGGTATCAAACGTACAGAGGAAAAAAGATTATCAGCCTGCAGACTTTCAGTATCTTGAAAAGCCGGGGAAAGACACGCGAACTCAGTGGACAACTAGGTGTTGACTTCGTAGATAGTAAACTTGTTGTCGGTTTAATCGTGGTTTAAGGGTTTAAGTTTTTAAAATCCCTGCCTAATATGTTAACGCATGGCCAATTCGGCAAATATTCGAATGGTGGTATCAAAGAGGCACGTTCGGAAGAAAATGTGCCTCCATTTTTTTCTGTGACGACAAAATTTGCATCATATCCCAGTTGAGCCCTATAGCTGCCTCTTTTCCAATGGGAATTCTCTTACTTTTCTGACCGATTCTTAAATCTCAAATCCCCGTTCCTTGCTGTCTTTTGAGGTCCGGCGAGTCTTTGCCTCCAACTCGAGATCTAGCAAATCCCAGACTGATGATATGGGGGGGGGGGACACCGCGTGCATCATGTGCATGTATTGTGCTGCGGTGTAACGAACGGAACGGAAAACTAACGGAACGCCCTTCCAAGTTTAAAATGTCCCCGATCAAAACAAACACACCAAACTTTTATTTCGGGATTTAGAAAAGCCCTCACATTTATATTCACTAAATCAGCTTTTTCATACTGAACATGTTTAAGATATCCGATCGCGTGAAGTTTTCCATAAGCGGAATACAAAGCCTGAAGAAGTATATTAGAATTACACCAAGAGCTCAAAGTCGTATGAGGAGGAGAAATTTGTTTTTGTCAAAGTCGTCGAACAGTGAAGGTGTAAAAGACATTTTTTGGAATTTTTTAAACGCGCCAAATGATCCTCTATTTTATCTCAACCCTACAGGTAGCCTACATTAACAATTACCCCCACAATTCTAAAAGAGAGTGAAATTTTTTTTATAGAGTAAAAATGGAAGTATACCCCTAGGATAGCTGGGCACCTATGACGCGATTAACATTTTTCCCATGACAAGCATCTTTACTTGGACACTACTTATGTCTCAAAAAATAATGTGTAAATTCTGCAATGTGAATGATTTGAATTAAAAATCGGCAAACGGAGTGGACCTATTCCGAAATTATATCCCTTCTAAATGAAGTCCAAAGAGCATTAAATGCTTTTTCCCAAGCCCTGATAATCGCATACTTCAAAATATTCCGTATATGATTGAGGGACTTTTACTGATGTGCCAGCTACATGTTTACGTAAATATTAATGGAATAGGAATATTTTCCCCCAATAAGCTATTGGGAACTTTACTCTTGTGGTATCCCATGCAAAGGCTGTACATGGCCGAGGTTAATGATTTACCGCTCAATCCCTTTATAAAGCGGCAACTGTTTTCACACTTCTATAGTTTACAAACAAAATGATAGTGTGTTTTGTAGTTACCGTACAAAAGCCTGATCATCATCACTGTCCATGAAGAAAATGTCAACATAGAGAATGCGTTCGTTTCACAAGAGAGGCATTGCTCATTCCACAATATTTTTGTCAACAGTCGTCGGCGTTCTTCCATTTCCCTATCATGTCACGTCTGGTGCCTGCATGACCCCCGTTTTCGTGGCAACGCGGTATGGTTTGTGACACATTCACCATGGTGATGACAAAAGGGACGTCTCCCGTGACGTCATTCTGATCGCCCGCTCTTGTAAATTGCGGCCTCCCCTGGGTCACAACAACGGCCTTGTCACGATCAATTCGTTACTTTTTTCCTCCTTGACTTTGTGATCTGCAGGCAGGCGGAGCAGTTTGGTTAGGCGCCACGGCTGAATTATGCCAACACGGCATTCGCTCACCTATCGTCACAAGCAAATATGGACAAAAAACCAAGGCTGGGCAAGATTAAGTGTTCCGTGTGCACTAGGCATACACCAGTCCTTCGTAGTTCCTTCTCAGCATAAGGGAAAAAAAGCACCGATTTCATAGTGCTGGTGAGCGCTGAAGCTATGAGCTTTCTCCCAAAAAATGCAGTCCCACAGAGCTAGAGAATTTATCTCTTGTGGGTATGTTTAGGCCCCCTATTGGTGTTTGTGTTTTATGAAACCAATATGGTAATTTCTTAGCCGCTCGAAATTTCCGTGGACCCCGAGCTGGACCAAGAGAGGGTGCAATTTTCCAACCACACAGGCTCCTTGAGTGGGAACTGCACTTCGCTGATTCACAATCGTCTATGAAATGCACGTGTTACTCCGTGTTGCACAATGAACACTCCCGACCAACATGGCTCTTTTCAACCAGTGAGGGGGTGCTTCTGCTCAAGGCGGTATGCCTATGTTCCTATTGGATCATTGGGCCCTGTACCAGGAGAAATTCTCCCTAAACTTTCATTTTCCTTTGATCAGTATAAAATAGAGCCTGAAAGTAAAAGGACACGCATGAAACACTCATGTTGGAATTTTACCCTAGTCTTCCTCGGGTAATATTTAGGAAAAGTCACCTGGAGATGAGTAAAAAACAAATTTCTTCAACGACCTTTCTCCTGCGGCGATATTGTTTCTGGATCTTCTTGTTCATGCACATTTGTTTTCACTCCACGTGCTTAAGGGAAAACGAAATTGTAAAACGTTGCAAATACCTACCTACCTGTAGTCGATGGGTTCCACGTTCAGTTGATTTGACATAACGCAGTGGTTGTCAGCAAAGGTTAATTAACAAACTATTAGAATCTTTCGTAAATGTAGATTATTGCTTTCATTTTATTACATTAAATCGAAACAGTTCGTAAAATATTTTGATCTGTTTTTGTTTCAGCTGTTACCAACAGACTACCAAC